TATTAACTGTAACATTGTCGTATATAGAACGCGCATGTGCTTCATGTGACCGTATGGCCACGTGGATGATACTGACGTCTGCGTGTTCCTATGTATATTGATGAGTTGAAACTAACGCTTGTAGATGTAGGGCTGATTTTAGCCTCGTGCTTCAAGTTGACCGTTTTTGGGGGTGGGGTGTTGAGTTCATAAGATATGTGTATGTAGGCAAGTAATAAGCTAGGTTAGGAGGTAATGTACAACAAATCGAACTTATTATCGTTGTTAAATGTGCGACATGGGAGTGCTTTAGACGAGATCTAACCCACAAGCAGTTATCAAGCAGCCACTCATCCAAAAGTATTATCTACATGTATGTAATGATATTATTACATAGTAACTCTGCAACCTCTTTTACGCAAGACTCCCACCCTTGGAAGCCCTAAGGATCTACGACTAGCTGCGGGAAGGGAAGAGTAGTGTAACCATAACCGCACCCGTAAGCATCATGTCCACCATCCTAGCACAACAAGATCGTGGGCTTGATGGGGCGGATCGATGCAGGCGAGACCGAAAACAGAAGTAGGGATTTCCTTCCAAGACTTATACTGGAGGACGACGGGGGAAAGGGATTAACAAATGCCTAAGCAAAAGGGATGGGCTAAGAGGAGCGCCGGCGCCGTCGGCCGAGAATCGTAATTAGATCCGTGAGTATGCTCAAGTAACCCCCACTTCATTGCGTTAAGCTGCAAGTATTTCCTTGGAAGAATATGACGCCTGCAGATCCTGGCATGATGTTGGGGTCATCAGGGAGAAGATGTTGGTGTTGGTGATGGTGAACATATTCATCACTCACCTATCCTCGTATCCTTCTACTGTCACAGCGCAAAGGACTCGAGTTTATTGGTTGGTCTTCTACGGACAGTCTTCCTTCTGCGGCACAAGCGAATCGCACAACGGAAGAAACTGTCGGTAGACTTAAAGATACGGGAGTTAGAGCCGGGAAATAAGGAACTTCTTCCCTCCTGAGTTTGTGGTCTGAAGGCAAGGTGAGCTAGTGGCTACATACGATTCGTATATCTTAGGTATATACGTGTCCGTGTAAAGTATGTAGTCCGTGTCCTTTCTAACATATGATCAGTACAGATATGTCACACTCATCGGGTATTACATGTGTATGTTTGTGTGTGTGTGTGTGTGTATGTACTTTCGTGCTTTACTAGGTTATATTATAAAGTTCCATATCCTACCTCAGACACACCCTAAACCATTATTTACCTAGTCAACTAGCCTACATTACATCCAAGTGTGGGGTCAGCAGTAATAATGAAAGGTGTGATATTATATCGTAATAGCCGCGACAGAAATTTCTAGTCTACCACTTTCATAAACTGATTGGCCATGAAGATGGCGCTCTTCTGCCCAACGTCCCGCTTAAGAAGCGGGACTGAAGTCCCTATTTTTGTCGGAACGGTGAATTTCGGCTTGCCAAAGGGGGTAGGAGCATGAGCAGATGTTGTCCTCTTAGCCGTGGTTATGTTTGTCGAAGAGTCGATAGCACCATAAGCACACTTGCCACCTTTGAAAGCTGCCGTTGCAGCCGCTTTCCATTGCTCGGTAATATCGGTAACCATAGGCGCTGTCCACCAAAGCCGGCAGTCAGATTCCTCGACGACGAATTGTGCGGGAATACCATCTTCAAGATTGCCACGGAGGATCTGGTCTTTGACGTTGAGGCTAGCTGCTGTACTGCGTTCGATGACGTACGTCGTATACTTGTCTAGCGTCTCGAGGATGGTCGAATCATTCGTATATTGTCGGGCCGTGAGGGCCTGCGAATAAACGTCTTCGAAGCCGTAGCTCTGCGATCCCTTTACTCCACCGACTCCCTGAATAAGACCTTTCTTGGTCGGCCGTCCTCCCATGGCTATACTCTTCACACCCGCATTAGACCTAAGGAATTCGGCGAATAAAGTGCATGTTGACGCGCAGTACCCATCGAGTAGGAGTACAATGTTCTCGGGCCCACCGAACGGGCGCGTAAAGTTCTGACGGCTACGGTAGCCCGTGATATCAGTGCCGAAGCCGAAGGTACCGTTACTCGTACTTAGGGGGTCGTTGAAGTTCCACTGCATCAAGTCCGTGTAAGTATCGCCGCCAAACTCTTGTGGTGCAAATTTGTCTTCGTAAGACGTGAAGTTTCCGTCTGTGATGTTGAGGTCATATCGCCAGTTGAAAACGGACTCGTATGCATTAATAATGTCGGCAGGGGCAGTATTCGGGTCGAAGTCGGCAGATATATCAGAAAACACTGTAGAGATAGCCGCAAACCCGGGGTGTTGTCGCCATCGTCCCAATCCCTCCTGAACTATATCCGGGAATAGCTGGCGGAAACCATCGTATCCGAGGAAAATATAACCACCGCCGTTAGCCTGTACGTCGACGACGAGCTTCTTCTTGCCTGCTTCCGCTGCAGCTACGTAGAAATCCTGGGCGACGCGCTGGAACTCAACAGGGTCTTCAGGCGAAAAAGAGAGCATGACGAGAACTGCTACATCTTCAAAGCCAGGTTGATCAATGAAATAACCCGAAATAGAAGAATCACCAGCAACAATAACAGGGTCAGGGTATCCTACGATGGGGACTGCGCTCGTAGCCGCGGGTGTCGCTGTCGCGGACGAAGTAGTAGTAGATGTCGTCGAGGCGGCCAGGGCTTGAAGAGTTGCACCGGCGCAGAAGGTCTTAAAGAATGATGGGCCATCAACAACACCAGCCCAGGAATTCTTCAACCTCGCTAAGTTCGGTAGGTCGAGCACCGTTCCATTCTCGAATGTGAATGAGGTAATGTTGCCGGGATAGATATATCTAAACAATCGTTAACTTGATTTTAAGATACAGCTAAGTCGTTTTCATAAACTATACCTTACGCGACCTCCCGTCTGGAAATACCCTCGGTTATTATTCTCAGCTACGAATGCTTTCTCGAAGAACATGGAGTTGTAGGCAGCGTCGGCATCCTGATTACCAGAAGCCTGGTTGATCCAATCCCCGATATAAGTGGCAGCATCTACTCCGTTGATGAGCTTCACCGCAGACGCCGTCTCTACGCCAGAAACAACATCGTCGTACACTTTGATTACCGGCGCAGATCCGTCAGGGCCCTCCTCACTGACCGACACCAAAGCGAATGGCCTCTGCCACTCAAGAGCACTGGACAAGGCATCTGGGTAAACTACAAAGTGACCGTCGTGTGCCGGTCCGAAGAGTCTGTTGTACAGGTCTGATTGCCAGGCATATTCGTTAGGGTATTTGTCTGCAGTGATACCAGCCTTCACATCAGCTATCGTCGCCCAAAGGTCCGTGGGAGGATAAGAATAGTCGGCTGGGGGATTTTTCTTAAAGGCGGTGTCGGACTGCCACTCGACATATGGCTCTAGCTCATTGATGAATTTGAGGGCGGCATCCTTATCAATTGGGACCGAATTGAGACACTCATATGCGATTGACGCCTCAATGGTAGGTGTGGGAGTAGCACTAATCTGGGCAGCCCACGAGGCGCTCACAATGGCGCACGGTTCTGTGGGACTGGCCGTTGCCGTTGCCGTCGCCGAAGTTGTTGTGTTTGTATCTCTGCAAGCTATTCTAGAACCGCTTACCAGAGAAGCAAGCGCCAACACGCTGGTAGCTGAGGACTTCATGGCTGTCGACTACCAACTACTGCTTCTACTGCCTACTATTATCTTAACCTCCTGACAGGCAAACGACGATAAGTGAAGGTAGGCAGTGATAACATAAAGCTCAACGTGTAGACAGATACAAACGAACTTATACATACCTAAGGCATAAATCACCCCCGCGCCGCGCACGAATCCCCAATCTCTTATGGATTAAGTTACTTGTTTAGGTAGGTGACGCGCCTCTCGCTTTAACCGATGGGGGCAAGATCTTGATTGAGAGATGGAGAGACCAGGGGGGGATGGTGGCACGGCATGAAGCGATCCGTAACTTGGGGGCTATCAACTTGCATAACTATATATAAGAGGTACTATACTATATACCTGGGGATAGCTAAGCTATATAAAAACTACAACCCTATTGACATAATAAATAGTAAATAGTAATGTGTAATATGACTACATACCAAGCTTATATGAAGCTAGTTTTTACATAGGTACTCTTATCATACTATGTAATTTGTTATTCCTACTATTCTGAATAGGTAACCCAAGGCAACGATCCCTTACTAGACCTCGTGTCCAATTTAATGAGGCAGCACGATCCCATCATTGCGGGAATCCTAGCTAGCACGCCTTTTAAGGGCTCCCTAGCGTCACCGTCCAATATTCGTCCAGACCTTTGTAACGATAAGCTGTGGAACAACTAGCTACGTAAAGCCAATATATCCGAGGCTAGACAACAGGTACGCATGTAAACAAGTAAGTACCTAGTAATCAAAATGCAAACATCGTAGACGAAATCTATATGTATGATATGCCAGAGTATTAACCCGGCAACAGAGAGTAAAGTAATTCTTCGGCGGTGAAAACTCTTGGCGTCTACTTCCGATTTTATGCCTGACGTCGATCACTAGAATGATGTGATGTGCCTTACATGTTCAATTTCCGACCCCTGTGCTTACCAGATAACAGTCGACATATCACAGTCCAAGCGCTATTATCGATACCTAACATGCTATGAGGTATGCGTTAGTCTTGTTCAGAGGTATCTAACTTATAACTTTGCGAAGGGAGGCGTTGAGACAAGAATTCCCCACCAAGACATTCCTACGATATCTGTGCCTTTCCCCTCAGTAACACAGAGCCGACCAATAGTTTAAGACTATATTTTCATGTTACTTCTCCCATTCCGATATCATCGCACGAAACATACAGCGAATAACTGCATAGTTGGTGACATAGTACTACACTAGCATGAACAACCTTTAAACTCCCATCGCAAAGTAGAAATCTTGAATTACAAGTCTATATATAGTGCATCGTAGTATTACTCTGATTATGAAATCAACAGTATTCCGTTTGTCCCGTTGGCGCCAACGACCTGTGAAAGATCCCATCTGAGAGCAGGGCCTCAGCAGCGCCGACCCCGATGAACTTCCATACCCCAGCCGTCCGCTCTTGGTTAAGGCTCCTGGCCGTCGGATCTGGAATAATCTTAGCTAAAAGAGCAAACTCCTGGTTGTAGTCGTCCGAATTCTGGAAGAATAGTCTTGGCCATTCGACGCCAACGCTTTCCTCGGCTGCACGCATCTCACGCTGTGCATTTTCAATCGTACTCTTCTCGTCGCCAACGACATGCATACTCCCGGCACCGATTCCTTCTGCCACTTTGCCCCATGCTTTTCTCGATTCCCATGAGCTTTGTTCTTTAAGGGGTTTGATTTGAATCTCCGTGAGGGACACGTCGTCGACATGAAAATCATCGATTTGTTTCCCATTCGTACCATCTACGATCGTAAGTCGGTCGTTCCATTGACCAGTGACCTTGAACATCACCCTGCCCCCGTCCCGAACATTAGATATCTCGGCATGTACACTGTTCTTCTTTCCAGATCCTAGCAGGCTTTTACTTTGGAAATCAATAGTTGTGAGATATCCCGAGCTTGACGATATGTAACAAGTGCCTTCTAGTTCAGGGTACGGCCGCCCGACTACTAGCCCCTTTATCACTATGGTCGGCAGAGTCATTAAGTGACTTTCGCCGTGGCCTTCATCACGGATGATTGCGTGCCCAATTTGCTTCACCCGAACACCCGAAGCGGGATTAAAAGTTATCTCTTGTGCTACGTAGCCCAAAGATGAGATGCCGTTAACTTCGTTATATAAGCAGCAGGCCGTCACTGGTGGATGATGTGATACCTGTTCACATATCAATCTCGTTGTGCTTCCGTCATCCCCTTCGAAAGTCCCTAGAAAGAGTTCTCCCAAAAACGCATTGAGGGGTTTCTTGACACTGTCATCGCCGCAGTTATCATTAGAGCACTCTTCAGAAGCGGTCGCTGTATAGACCTGGCGCTTAAGACTACAGAGGAAGTTCTTAAGCACTAAAAGAGAGCGTCGCGCAGGGTCCTTTTCTCGCGCTGGCTGCATGAATAAATCATGACGCTCAGCCCAAGAGGTCGGTATCTCCACCACTGACTTGGGTGAAAGAGTGAAGGGCGGAGCGGTGATATTTGAAAGGTCACCTTTAACGGTTACTAAATAAGACAAGAAATCTTTTAACTGGGAGATGTTGGATTGCGACTGGGTCATCTTCACATAAACGATGAGAGGTCATCCTTTTTCTTATTCAACTTGAGGTTGGGTGTTTAGTAGATCATATTACGGAAATCTAATACATCTAGCGCAAATCCTCTATGATGAGTGTTAATAAAGCTAGTGCATCTCTAATTAACGATACAGTTGATGACGTTGTGTGGCGTCGTAGGGCTCTGAGTTAGACAGGGAACTATTGAGACAACTTTAATACTGCGACATGACACAAGAATTCACCACGGCGAATTTGTTTAATAGTTTTAGTTATTGCATCCACGAGGTCGGCTACCTAGGCAAGCTTCAGTCCTAAACCTCTTCAAATGCACAGTGACCCATAGTCAAGAATAGGAACATAAACTGTAATAACAACTTGGAATTGTAACGAAGAAAATTCTGCTCTTCGACGGTACTATATTATTATCATTATGGTGAAGAGTTTGGAAAGATCCAAACCAACCTAGGTCGTCATGACTCCGACACTTGATGCAATACCCCTATTGAAGTTCAACTGCACCTATGTCTCTAATAGCTTCGAAAGCGAAGATATGGCCTTCTTGCTAAATTCAAGCATATCAGAGTACTTCTCCGGTCCCTTGCCATCAAACACTTCGATAGATAACCAGCCTCTGAACCCAGTCCCAAGTACAGCCTTTAGAAAGTCTTCGACAGGGAGATAGCCCCCATCGTAAGGTAACGGCCGGTAATCATGGCTCCACTGGCCCCTTGGTCGTAACCCCTCCTTGTTGGCCTTCGCTTCTATCGGGGGTTCCATCTTATAGGCATCCGAAATCTGTAAGAGGTAGATTTTCTCGGGCGGGACTGTCCTGCTTAGTTCGGCTAGGCTCTGCTTCCACTTGGTTTCGAGATCCTCCCGTGAGATATCCTCAACTAATCCGGACTTTGTAGTCGGGTCTGCCCACTCGCCGCCACCGCTCTGAAAAGTATCTAAACATAGACCGAGATTCGGCCGGTCGGCCTTCTCGACGATACGCCATACGTCTTTCCAGCTCGGAGCGTGCGTAGCCCAGCACCAGTTCTCATACGCGATGCGCTGCCCTTTGGCGGCGCACATATCCGCCAGCTCGGCCAAGTCGCCGGCCAAGTCATCAATGGACGACAATATCCCAGGCGCGTCGGATGATCCTACTTGCAACATATCCGTGCCCACAGCCTCCATGATACGCATCCAACCTTCGGCACGCTCAAACGCGTCTTTCCTTGCGTCGCTACCCTTCGGCCAGCCTTCGAAGTTGGCAAAAGGCTGTAGCATCAAAATCTTGAGGTTATGCTCTTCCACCTGCGTTTTGATAGCCTTTCCAATCTCAACTAGTGCGTCGTAGTCTTTAGGATCTAGTTCCTGACCATAGAGCATCTTACCATAAGCCAAGATATCTGGCATAGATAGTTCGATGGCGTCGAATCCGGCATCCGCTATTGCCTTGAACTTCAAGGGAAGCGTGTGGGAGTCTTTATGTCCGATACTGCAAGTAGCATAACATGTTGGAACTTTCGTACCTTGGTAATCTACAGGCATTTTGAAACAAAGGTGATTCTAGTTAGCTATATTTTAGTATTTTATGGTCTAGCTTCAAATTCAATTTTCAAGTCGAGACGGTAAGAAGATGACTATGTTGTATACTCTTGAATCTCAGTTCTGATGACGTCAACGAATGTAGAACATTTATGACCTACGTAACTTTTATGTAAATATCCCGTACTATGCATATTTTTTCTTGTATATTCTTCATGTTTGGAGTGTAGGAAACGAATAATAGCTTATATCAGTTACCTACCTCATATATACTAAGGTATCTTAATTCCTTACACGCAACTCTACTACTCTGGGTTAATCATCTCGATAATCCTAAAGTAAACACCCTCCCACCACTCCTTAATCCAAAGCTCAAAATTAACATTATCATAACATTTTTTCATATCTTATTAAATAACGACCAAGTTGATATACACATGCTACGACTACCAAGTTCCCGAAACGGGTAAATCTTTGGAACTTCGACCAACCATAAATCGATATTCACCCTCGACAACCATGGCCCAATTTTGTACATTGACGTCCCAGTAACTTAGATCTCGCCTGGTTAGATTAAATGTGATTGTCCTACTTCCCCCCTGGTCCAGCAAAAACTTATCAAATCCGCGCAGCACCTTGATCGGGAAGTCAACTGGAAGATCGCTTTGGGGATATCCAAGGTATAGCTGCGGCACGACCTGGCCTGCTTTACCGCCAGTGTTCGTAACCTTTGCAGAAACGGTAACGTAGATATCCCAAAGGTCAGGGTTTCCACCTTCGTCTCCTCCAGCGCCGGAGGCAGGTTGCTTTACGTCGTAGCCGTCGGGATAGGGGTAAGGATTTGATACTATATCATCGATAGTATCGAGATAAGGGTAAACGTATTTTTCAAGCTTTCGAAAATCTTTAGGAAAGAGCGCCTCCTCCTCGTTAGGAATAGTAGCATCGTATTCTGGAGGAATTGCAAAATCCTTGGGTCGCGGTGCGGGGAGGACGCTCTTCTCCTTTAGCCCAGTGACGATGCAATCAGAGAACTCGAATGTAGTGTAGCTTAAACCGAAACCGAACTCGAACCGCGGCTGTATCTCGTACTTGTCGAAATAGCGGTAGTCGACATATAAACCCTCTTTAAAGTCCTGCTGCGGCACGACGCTGTTGGGTAGGTACATGATTTTAGCACCTTCACCGTAATCATCTAAGGACTTGCCGATAGTCCAAGGTAGCTTTCCGCTAGGGTTGACATCTCCAAATATGACATCGGCTAGGGCATTACCACTCTCCTGGCCTGGTAAGTTTGCGAGGAGGACCGCTTTGATATTGGGTAGGTCAATCCATTTTTCCATCAGGACAGGGCCAACTGTGTGAATAACGACAAGGACATCGCCGGTGCCGCCGTGGCACCCTCGGGCAACCTGAGTGATCAGATCATCGCCGCCCTTCTGCAGAAATAGATCGGGTCGATCACCTTTAACACCCTCCCATGCCTTAAACCCTTCGCCCGAGTCAGCGTTTGCGAAGACGATACATAGCTGAGCATCTTGTAGAATATCTGGCTGTTTTTCGAATGGTGGCTTATTCGTTAGATATGTCGAAACCTTGACGCTCTCGTCATCTTCCCATTTCTTAGTTAGTGCCTCGACGGGAGTGACTAGGTAGGGAAATTCAACAGAACCAGAGCCCCAGCCTGAAGCTAAGGTGCCCTGATTACAACCGCGATCTGGACAGTGATTAGGACCGTCACCAGCACCAGCATCCTCGCCAAATATTGCAATCTGAAATAGACTGTCGCGTCGGATCGTTTCATTCGAGTTAGTGCTAGAGTTATAGGGAAGAGGGAGTAGTCCTTCGTTTTTAAGTAAGACAGTTCCTTCTGCTGCAATCTGTCGTGCAATAGAGGCATGATCACCCATGACGTTAACGTACTGATTAACTGGAACTTTCTCTTGCTCGGTAGGGCTTCCGGGTGCAAAGGTACCTTCTGGCTCGTCTGTCCACGACGAGAAGTTGGGCCCCTTACGGTCAAACTTGGTCTTGTCGTCCTGACCTAGTTGGTACCATGCCGCAACAATCCTGGTAACCATGTCGTTTAACCTATCGAGAGGAACCGAACCGTTGAGGATGGATCTCGTAAGCTCGGAACCCCAGAGCGATTTACCATCCTCCCAGAATAGCCCGTCACCGGGCATCGTCATGTCGAGGCCTGCGAGTGCGCTGGCAACGCCGCTTCTCTGTGCTAACCAATCGCTCATTACGAATCCTTGAAAACCCATCTCGTCTCTTAATAAACCATTAAGTAGCTTCGAGTTGCCGCACGCATACGAATTGTTAATCATGTTGTAGCTGCACATGACGCTTGCAACGCCGGCCTTGACAGCATTTCCAAACGGCCATAGGTAAAGCTCGTGCATTGTCCGATCGTCGATGTTCGTACTAAGAGCGTTTGGGAGTCCCCATTCCCATGGCTGGCGGAAGTGCTCCTGTTCGTTTGCGACGAAATGTTTAATAGTCGCCATGACACCCTCATCTTGAATTCCCTTGATCGACTGGGCTGCTGCGATGCCCTGGAGATAAGGATCCGCACCGAACCCTTCCCAGTTCCGTCCACCTGCTGGCATGCGGCCCAATGGACCGATACAAGGACCTAAAATAACATTGATTCCCTTCTTTCTAGCTTCTATCGCATGGGCGTTTCCCCATTGGTACATCAGCTCTTTATTCCAAGTCGCACCGACAGTCACGCCGGCAGGAAAAGCTGTGGCGTTATCGGCAAACCGAATACCTAGCGGACCATCCTGAAGTGCTAGAGCAGGGAACCCTACGTGAACTGCCGGACCCGTGTTTCCTACGGCTGGGCCCATCTTCCATCCGGTCCCAGTCGTCACGTTTACTTTCTCCGGTAATGTCATCTTGGCAACCATCTCGCTGGCTTTTTGATAAGCCGAGGCCCAGCTTTTTGCTGCACCGCCCTTTGGAGTCGGGTACCATGGTGGCGAGAGGCCATCCGGAGGTGATTGTTTATATTTCTTAAATGCGAAGAAGCCGCCTGCGCTAAGTGCTAGCCATATTAGAGCGAAAATAGTTAAACAACCAATGATACATCTAGTCGAACGGCCGGCGAAACAGCCGCATGGTTTCCTCAACCAGCGGTTGCGAGGCTGGGTAGAGAAAGCCGCGGTGGATGGTTTAGAGGATGTGAGGGGGTCGGATTGAAGGAACTCTGTTGCATCGAGATCAGAGTCGAATGAAGAACGAGCATCATAGGAACGGCGGAACTGCTCTTGCTCGTAGTTGGAGGTTGGACTTAATAGTCCTTCCTTGCCTGAGCTCATTTCGCAACCTATGGCCCGAAGCCTGGTCTCGCCCTACGAGAGTGTGGTTCAGCAAGCAAATCTTTCGATAAGATTGTTACGAAGAAAACGTTGGTCCGTCCAATGCTTGCCTAAGATACCTCTTTGCTACCTGAGCAAATAGCGAGGGTTAGATTAGGAGTTCACCATCTGCATTACTATCGTGAAAGTCTCTTGAGGTCATACATAGAATTGAAAGATTTGATTAATTCCTCAAGTTACCTAAAATATTGGAAAGCAGCATCGATCCCAACGTCGGAGCCTTGGTTTGAAACCTGGAGATCTTCTTGGCGAGAGCTTTTGGGCTCTAGGCATTGGATGGATATTTACATAAAGCCGGTTCTATAACCGTGCGCAACCTATTAATAGAAATTTATATGCATTACTGGTTACAGTAAGAATACTGTGTTAGCTAAAGGAATAAGAATGTACGGAATATCTGTAAACAACTCCCAACATGCTTCGGGTGTCAAGTACAGACTAATAAGACGCATAGAGGTACTAAGTTTGTTTGATAGTAGACCTCACATCTTTTCCCTGTATTTATACTGAAGCATCACATTCGAATCCACAGAGCTCTCATCCGCTAATTTATGTGCGCTCTCAATTCCGGCAACGGGGAGACGATATTCGAAGCTCGTAGTAGTAGATGCCCTTGAATCCGACGCAATTGGATATGGGAATGGAAGATACTCTGGAAGCAAGCCAAGCTGTCTGAGAAGCGTTGCTTGATCCCAGCTGATGTGCTCGTGGTAGAGACGATCGCCGCGTATGTTTACCACGCTCGTGAACGGAATACTGATAAATCGCCCGGTTGCTGGGATACCGGGGATGCTACAAATACGCAAACGTATATGATTAGGCCGCCTCACACTTTTTACGTTAGGAGAAACACTACGGTGGACACTTACAGCCAGTTTATTACACGGTCGTGTGTCGCCTTGAATAGGAACTCGTCGACCACGCGATCAATTCCCACGGTCCGACTTACGAGCTCAAGCTGTGTGTCAGGCGGATTGCTGAAGATGAAGTTGTCCCTGTAAAATTCAGTCAGGGCCTGTCGTCCAACACCGCCTGTGAGCGTTGGCACGTGGTTCACGTAGGGTTCTTCAACCATGGTCGCCATCGTCTCCTCGACCGATCGCGCTTGGAATTCCCAGTACGTATGCTCGTCCCATACTTTCTCAAGGTCGAAATAGGGGGCGCCAACAAGCGGCTTGAGAAAAGAGAGCGATCGCGTGTGGGCCACCGAGGCTGAAGTAGCATGATAGTTTTCATGTGCGGGGATCGCAAAGAAGGATTTTGCACTATCGTAGTGATACTTCTTTTCGTTACTACCTTCTTTACTACCATCCTCTTGGGCTTTCGTAAGAGGTCCAGGCACATGTGTTAGTAACGGTAACTTGCTAGCAGTGACACCAGTATGTAATGCACCATAACAGACGACGGTACAAATTTCGGGATTGGCCTCGATTGTTTCCAGTACGACAGATTCCAAGATAGGCATGTAAGCTTTTATTCGTTGCGCAGTCAGCTGAATCATTATTCATTTACACATAAGTTTATATCTTCTGTTTTCTCACTGATGATTCCAATCTTCTCAATTTGATCGCAAGACGGCAACGCGAGTAACTTTGAGAGTGCCGAGCGTATTCCATCGTGTAGCAATTTTTTATCAGATTTTGTAACTCTTAATTGCGCAACGGCAAAGCCTTCTTCAGCCCATTTATACAAAGGTGGCGGGTCTAAAGTCTTCTCGTGTTTACGAAGATCAAGCTCCGCGTCGACCAGGAGGAGTAACCCTGGGCCATGACCTCTTCTTGAAAGAGGACCTTGGATTGTTAACTCTGGATATATGTCAACTGACGAGATATCAGAAGAACTAATCGCTTTCGTGTCCGATGATATTTTTGACATTGTCAGATTAGTTTTCTGTGTAAATATATGACCAACCCACCATATAGGCTCTATGTGAGTAAAATAATATATTTCGTATTCTATCAAGCGGGGTCTTTATACATATATCATTCCATATCTAAGACTGCACTAACTAAATAACCCGAGTATTTGGGGAACCTTTCCCCCTTTTGATTCCCCCAATGTGACGCTTATTACTTTATAAGACGATTTTTCATAGTCTCCAAGTACCTATAAGAATAGTAATATTCGTCAGCCAAGCCCCGCTCTACTCAGACAAATCTCACGCCTGGAGATATATTTCGTACCTTTGGTTGAAAATTTATCACTTCCCTTTCGATTATATCTCACAAAGGAAGCACGCTGGTATGGCTCGCATTTTGATTTCGAATTTAATATAAGAAATCACAGGAAGGAATCTCGGGAAATCCTGACTACCCAGGACAAAGACCATTAAGCATATTTACAGGCCAAACACTCTTTTAGGAAAGGATTTAAATTTACTTTGCAGCGTAAGAATAGGACTAGCAGGTTAGTTTAACGGCTATTATACAGGATATCATCATGCATCCAATCCAAAACAAGAGCCATGTCCCATACCTCATACCGTCTCAATATATCGTTTCAGTTCCCAATCCGTTACTGCCTCATCCCAAAGTCGTATCTCGTTTTCCCTCGTACCTCCAAAGTGATCTACAAAGTCGTCACCGAAAACTTCGCGAGCGATGCTATTTTGGCTCATAAACCTATCAGTAGCTTCCCTTAAGTTTCTCGCGAGGCGAGTACCCTGATCGGACAGGTCCCCCACATCCTGACCCTTGCCGAGAGGAGGAATCGGGATCTCGAGTTTCTTCTCCACACCGCGCCAGCCGAGAGCTAGGATAGCCGACATGACAAAGTAAGGGTTCGCATCGGCACCTGGTACACGAACCTCGAATCGCGTTGCCCCAGGCTTAGAAGTAGGAGGCGCGATGAGTCTGACAGATGCAGCACGGTGTTCCAGGCCCCACGAGACGGTCACGGGGGCCCAGAAATTCTCAACCAACCGCTTATAGCTATTTATGGTAGGCGCAAGCATCGGCATTATATCAGGTAAGCCATCCAGGATGCCAGCAAGAAAATGCCTCCCGAGATCGCTGAGATGGGCAATGTCAGGGTACTTTGGATTCTCATCCTTCTCCTCGCGGAAGAATAGGTTCTTGCCGTCCTTATCTACGACAGACACATGGGTATGCCCGCTGTTCCCTGGCAGACCGTGCTGAGGTTTCGCCATGAAACATGGTGTAATTCCGTATTCGCTCGCAACTGACCTAACGACATACTTGAAGAGGGATGCCCGATCAGCCGTCTCTGAGATTTGTCCAAATTCCAATGCCGCCTCGTAGACCCCAGGTCCGCTTTCGGTATGCCAACCTTCTAAGTCGCACCTAAACTTGGCACACGCATCGTATACCCCGTGATAGTAAGACTTATTGAGCGTCGGCCGCGTAATGCTATATCCGAACATACCCTCGGTTAGGGGGGGCAGCGCGTGTGGCGGGTTGCTGTTAAGAAACGAAGCGACGGAGGGAGAGGGCGAGTCTGTGGTGGAGGAATTCGAAGAAGGTATCTTGAATTGGAAAAACTCGATTTCGGCTATATAATGATTGGTATTTATAATACTTGGAATTTGTATGGGGATGAGAAATAGAGGGAAAAACAGAGGGGTGTTTAATGTCGAAGGGGAGCGTAACTAACCTCCTGCCATGGCATTGTAACCCTTCTTTTCGAGCTTTTCTACGGTAGTTCTAAGCAGCCCGCGTGGATCGGCGCATACAGGAGTTGCGTCGTCATCGAAGAAGCTAACTAGGAAGAAAGGAACGTTGTCTTCCCAGGGAATGCGCCGGAAGCTATTTAGATCGGGCACGGCTATCAAGTCGCGATAACCATTCTGCTTGTTGCTAATCTTGAGTTCTTTTCCATAGGTCCTATCGTGCATATCCCAACCGAAGATGACACTACAAAACCCGAAACCTTCTTTGGCTATGGAGAGGAACTTCTTCTTGGACACGATCTTCCCTCGTAGCATTCCATCGACGTCTACTCCTGCCAATTTTACCTTGGTATCATCCTTAAGGAGGTCTGGGAGGTTCTCAACTGTAACGCGGGGTGGTTGAGACATGTTAAGGAAGAGTATAGGAGAGTAATAATTCTGGGTTAGGTCGTAATTAATAAAAAGGTAGAAGGAGAATGAAGAATTGTTCTCTGCATACAAGAGGAATTGATTCAGAATTCAACCAAGTCTGCGATAGAATAGATATAAATATAAGTTAGTAACAAGGTAAGGTAAAGTATATATAGATAGGTAGATATAGATAGGTACTTGAATATGTATATGGACGGTGAGAGATGTAAGAGGTAACACCAAATGGAGGGGTAAGAAATATTCGGAACAGATTCAGAAACAAGTTATGTACCTACCTGTATGGAACATTGATTAGGTACCTCGTAAGGCTGAAGAATGCAATGCGTCAAGTAAAGATCGATCCAACTTTCAACTCTACGTAGGAGGTAGGTACCTTGCCGATACCGAAATATATATCGAGTGTTTAATTTGATTGGTAAAAGATAAGCTTCAATGCTTCAAATGGTATTACAAGCTTTAAGATTTAAAAAAACATCGGATAAGAAATCCCTGTAAGACGGGTATTTCCATTATGTAGCTACGTAATAAGTACCTTAGTACCCTATATTAATATCATATATCATATTTTTACTACGGATTATAAACAATTCTCCCTCGTGCATTACACCCAACCTGCAGATTCATTTTACATCGTGATCATCTTTTACGGTAGTACATACACGACGATGACGTTACACCGGTTTAACTTATGTGAGGCTCTCTCATACTTTAGGGCTATTATCCGAGTAAGATACCCGTCTATAACCACCCGCTATTTTCCATCTTACCGTCGTAAATTCATAAAATTCAACCCAATAGAGTGAGTTTTATGAAGCTTCCGTTGCGTGATTTTAGTCTTATACTTATTCAAGTATGTTTTTGGATATGTCTGTCAGCTGACATTTGATGTATGCCCGAAACTATTCAGACTCCCGCCCTTCCTCGAGCGATCCTCTTTCAAGACCAATAGTATGTTAACATATACATATAATAGGACTCGACGATCTAACCTAGATCATGCAAAGCAATAAATTGCTACCAACAATTAGCTTTAGATGTCCTAGATGTCCTATAGTCATCCCTTCGGTATACTTAAAGGATAGTGCAATATCACCTATCACCTATACCAGGTCGACCCTCACAACCAATGCTGACTGGCAGCTGCGATATCCTTGGCCTTGGATTGCATTATGCATTTCCCGACATTCCTACCCTGCCGCGTGGTTCATTCTATTATCGGCATGATGACTCAATATCATCAATAACGAACCCGACCCGACGGAATGGACAAGTGTTACATAGGTAGGTAGTCATCAACTCACCGCTTGAAAGTAACAAGATATACCAATTGCGGAAGCTCCCCACGAATCATGAACCGAGAATTCACCAACATCTTTCCGGAAAACATAGACGTATCGGTGTGGAGTACCATGTTCAATATGCCTTACTTGCGATCATCTCCTTCGATACTTCTGCGGGATCTGGCGGAAACAGATGTGATCTTCAATGGCTTCCGCCTTTCTTAGGATATGATGCAAGTGACATATCCGTGCCATATCCAAACGGTTTCCGGCGGACTACTACCCAGACCCAGACCCGGACTTAATAAAACCAGCATGAGGACGCACTGTATCATTAGTATCAGTAAGCTTCAGATTCCACAGGTATTCTACCAGGAGTAACCTAACTCCCGATTTCTTGCTACATATGCCGGAGGAAGTAAGAAGTTCTCTCAACTTAAAAGTAATAGTATTAAGATAGAAAGGTCGAAGCGAGCTACCTACCTACCTATGTAAGCTATGACTTTACCGATATCTCATCAGTCGGAATCAGCTCCGTTCTATTTCTTTTTATTTATCGTCTAAAAAGCCCCCGTGACTATTATCCAATCAGTCAAACCCACGTCAAGCTGTACAGGCTGTACTAACAGACCCGGTTTAGCCCTTAAGAGTTCTATGTACATTTAGTGTCAATATAAGGCATAAAAAAAACGAACGAAGTGGACTTGGACTATGTATTATGAGATTATATCAAAATGGATGCCGATCACAACCTTCAAACTATATAGTAAGCACCCCTGATGCTGTGTGTTTGTAGCGAGTGGCCCAGGACCCAGGTAAGTAGGCAGGTAGGGTACCTCACATGAACAATATTATATACGTAACGAGGTACCTTTATTATAGATAACTGGGTAAGTAACTTCCAAGGTTTATGCTGGGCAGTTCGTGATAAGACTATGTAGTCTTATCACTAACATGCCGCCGTTGTCGGAAGGAGAGGGGTTATTGTTACTGAGTGCCCCTCCAAAATTAGTCCGGACCGATAGGTCAACAATGGATACATGGAGCACGAGTATTAGGAGGTAGTTAGTGGACTATCGGCCTAGTGATAACTATCAGTCTTTAATATTGGCGTCTTTCGGGATAGCTGATAGACTTTTGTCAAATATTCGAAGCGGATCGATTCGATTCTGTCTTCGACATCGAGTCATCCCTCCAGCCCTCCTCTCGGTACTATAAACTGTACCAGGATTAATTACATCTCGTATCCTGCTCAATAAACTCCTCTTCGCCGTTTAAACGAGCCCCCCCCTATTAAAAAATCAAGATAAGTCGGGTGGTGGAAAAAGAAAAATATGGCATCTGAGAACAAGGGTCGTCTTGCTGGCAAGAATGCCATAATCACAGGAGGTGCTGGGTATGTAATTCCTATCTTACATACAGGTCATAGGCTAGAGGACTAACGGAAATTATCTGCATAGCGGAATTGGTCTCGAAACATCGATCCTCTTTGCCAAAGAAGGTGCCAATGTTCTAATAGTCGATATTTCTGGCCCGGCATTGGAGAAAGCCAAAGCCAAAGTCTTGCAGCTAGTACCGCAAGCCGGCCGAGTGGAAACAAGAGTATGTCGTCGCTACCACACTATAATGCAAACCGCAACGTAGCGGTAGTTTCAGCATCGTAGATTAACATAGACGTCTAACCCCCCCTTCCCAGATCTGCGACGTGTCCAAGGAAGACGATGTAAAGGCAACGGTGGAAGCTTTGGACGCGTGGGGCGGGCTCGACGTCATTTTCAACAACGCAGGTATCATGCACGCCCGAGACGACGACGCGGTCGGCACGCCTGAGGAGATATGGGATCTTACCATGTCGATCAATGTGAAGGGCGTGTGGTACGGATGCAAGCACGCAGTGCTCTCTCTGCGGCGCAACAAGAAGACGAAGGGCAGCATCATAAACACCGCGTCCGTCGTCGCTCTCGTCGGCTCTGCGACCCCGCAGCTGGCGTACACTGCGTCCAAGGGAGCCGTACTAGCTCTGACGCGCGAGTTAGCTATCGTACACGCCCGTGAAGGTTTCCGCTTCAACAGCTTGTGCCCGGCGCCCTTGAACACGCCGCTACTACAAGATTGGCTCGGAGACGATGTACCCAAGCGAATGCGACGCGAGATCCATTTCCCGTCTGGAAGGTTTGGTGAGGCTATAGAACAAGCTCAAGCTGTATTGTTCTTAGCCTCTGATGAAGCTGGCTTTGTGAACGGCCACGAGATGGTGGTAGACGGCGGCATGAGCAAGGCGTACGTCACACCGGAGGGACCACCTCTATCTGCTCCTACAAACAATGCTTCGAAAACTGAGCTATGATTGGGGAGGGAGCTTCGTAATGCTTATAGCAAGGAAGAAAGTGAATATGTTATGCCACCGTTAGGGTGAGCTTCTACCTAGTTACCTTAATCAACTATGCTCCTTTGGCTATATGAGCTATATCTCGTCTCCAGCCTTACCCACGTAATCAATGATATTTTAAAATCCAACGAAACCACCACTTTATGCGTGACTAACCATACAATCCGCCGGTGAAATAAAGAATGGACAAAAGAGGATGCCTAGACTCCATCGCTATAACGCGAACGATCAACATATAAAATAAGCAAAGATAACTTCAGACGAGAGCAGCACTCTAGTTGAATTGCCCTTCCGTATTTCCATCTCCCATGCTCTTGCTCGAACTGCTCCCACTTTGGATAGCACCTAGAATTCCGTCGATATAACTTGCGCCGCTCCACTTCTGATGCGTCAAAACGTCGCAGCCAAGTTCCTTCTCGCGACGTTGTACGAGGTTAACATAGGCCAACATACCATCCTTCTTGTACTCCTTAGCAAGCTCGTTTGTGATGGTAGCAGTACTGTGCAGGCCCGCCAACGAGATTAGTTGTAAGACGAAACCTTCCTTGGCGATGTCCCAGATGAAAGATTTGAGCTTGGCGTCAGTGAAGCCGTGGGCCATCCAGTTAAACGAAGGCGATAGATTGTAGACTAACCCCTTGCCAGGAAATAATTGCCTTACCGTGCGGCCGAGCTTAGTGGCCACCTCGACGTTTGGATCGCCGGTTTCGACCCAGAGGAGATCTGCGTAAGGCGCGAAAGCAATAGCTCGTTTCGTAGCGGCTTTCATGCCCGCGCGATAGTGATAATACCCCTCTCTAGTGCGGGGGATGTCCCAGTCAAAGACGATAGGCTTGGCGGCATACTGATTCGCGATCTCACGGCGTTTCGTTATGCCCATGTTTGTGTTTTCCTGGACAGCTCTTAGGTATGAGTCTATCTTATGTTGGGCCACTCCTTGAGATTTCAGCTGCTCGGCGGCGGCCTCGTCAAACGTTATTAGCCGCGTTTTCTTTACCCATTCGGCTTCAAACGCGTCTATCTCCGGGCCTGGCGCGCCGGCAGCCTCCATCTCTTGTAGTGTTTCTGCGAGAGGGGCGATACCCTCTTCCGCAACGCCGAGAATTAACTCGTGGTCTCTTACGTCGATTGCGCTGGATATAAGCTTCCCACTTTCTGAATCGGTACGCGCGATGACAAGATTTTCTGAACCCATAACATCCCATTGAAAGCGCGCGGCGTTGAGACGGTTGATGTGTTCGCCTATAGGTACCAAGACTTTACCTGCTAAGTGACCGCACTTCTTACCGCCGTGCAGCTGATCCTCAAAGTGAACAGCAGCAGCACCATTTTCGGCGAATAATTTAGCAAGCTTTAGTACCGCGCTTAATCCTCCGTGTCCCGTATCTCCATCTGCGACGATGGGGCGAAGATAGTCGATATACGGTGTTTCCTTCCGGGCCTCTGGTGTCATCTTCCGCCGCAAATCCCATTGCTTTCGATCATGCATTGACTGTGCCTTCGCGAGACGTTGGACCTGGTTCGGTACCGTGTTATAGGGATAATCACCGAAATCCGGCGACACTTCGTTCGTGCTAGTGAGGACTGAGGAACAGGCCCATCCGGAAATATAGAGTACTTCTTGATGCGGCGCTTGTTGTGTCATCTGTACGGGATCGATTGCTCCCACTGTTCACCAAGTTGAGAAATGTTAACTTGTGGTCTTCAACACACGAATAAGTCATAAAAACGAGTAAACATACTTGTATGTATCGGCTCCCCCTTCGCTTCCCTCTCCTTGATCAGATTGAAAAGTTTCCTTGCCATTACCGAGCTAGGATAGTTTTGAAGCTGTGAACCTCGTTTTGACACAACATCGGCGGGAGTATATGGCCTCTTAATACCCTCATATCTAGGCGATGCCCACCATGCCTCGACATCTTTAATCTGCTGCTCGTAGAGAGCGTCTTCTGCTGCGCCAGATTTCTTAGTCTCTGGTAGAAGTTGAAATGAATCGGACGGAAGTACTGTCGTCACGGGAGGGTTGACTGGAGGCAACGACATTCTTGCAACCGTAGAAGAGAAACACCTTGCTGAAGCGATACGGACTGAGTGGTAGGGAGGGAGCGTAGCTCTTCGAGGAGCTCGAATCACCATTCGACGAAGCATCGCGACGGTTATCTGCTGCAAGTTGATTATTCAAGTCTAAGACGTCACTAAGCAACAATATATACAAGAGATCCGATTAAAAGACAGGAAGAGGGAAAAAACCTCATTTCTATATGTACCTACAAGGGTAACAATTAGGATGTTGAAGCTATAACCGAAAGATTTTTGGAATTAACAAATCCCATGTTTGGCCGATAGCACCCGAACTATTCTTTCCCCGCGGTCGAACAAATGCCCGTTAACCCCAACTTACCTAAGAGGGCTTCTCTTACCGGTCTCGGTCTAATGCTGGATAGATCTAAAGCGGGTACCTCCATGGGGTATCTTTTTTTTTTTTTTTTTTTTTTTTTTTTTTGAAAGAGGAAGTGAAATATACAACACCACATGCGCATATAAACCTATTATTAGGTAACTCGGCCATGTATCTGCTACAATCAACTAGCTCAAATGCCCCTGACGGTAAGCCGCGGCTTCTAATTGTTTGCTTCAGATGAGGTCATCAATAATGTACCCAAATACCATATCTGCGTATAAGGATCTAACTTAAATGAGTAAAATCTGTTATTTTATTAACCAATTGATTTATTTTAATATTCTTTCTAAGAGCACACTCAACAGAGAATATACCCGCAAGACCCCGAGCCGAGATATCGGTTAACCCAGATTCAAAAGTTAAGGAACCATCAAGTGGTTGGTTAATCCTAGGGATTCGAGGTCGGTTATCTACATGTGGTTACATATTGGTTGCTTACATGTTAGTTACATTTGTACATCGTTACCCTACGTGCATCTTTGCATCCTATATTTTATTTTGTTTGCCCGTAAATGTGACATGGTCTTAGAATGGACAATTGTCAGCGACGGGCAGCGGGCAAATGGGGTCGATGAACGGGTTTCCTCGGTTATGCGGGGGAGGGGTTACTAACCTTGCTGCAGTCTGGAGAACTTATGTACGAAGTATATATGTGCCTGGATATGTACCTAATCCACCTAGCTACAGCAGGTACGATACTTACATGTAATAGGCAGGTTAGAAGCGTTAAATGTACCTAACTTTACCCAGGTCTTCCCCCACATCAGATCATCTTATCTCAACGGTTGGAGTTAAGAGAGAAGGCCCGACGTGCTTTCTTGTTACTTTTCTATTTGTCCTGTTATATTTTTATATATTTTGTCTTTGCCATTGACAACTTACTTCTTCTAACTTGCGTCGGCGTTTTAGAGAATTGGCCTTGAAAATCCCAACACATTCTACTTGAGAACAATTTCTACGTTGTTCGATTATATATTATATATCTTATATAGTTATCTTTTCTAACTCTGTTCTAACAAACTCTCCCGTCTCGTTTTAACATGGCGATGAATATTAGAACAACGGCGAGAGCGCTGGGGGCTTTAAGAGTAAGTAGTTATTCAGGAAGCCAGACACGAATCTCTATATATACAGACATAGAAATATATATCCAATGTTTCGCCTATGTTTAGCTAACTTCGATTGTAAATAGCCGCGTGCCACCCCGGCGATAATTCTCCCCACGGTTAGGTCGTACTCTTCCTCGTCCGAGCCCGACTTAAAAGAGACTCTAAAGGAAGTCATCCCTGCCAAACGGGAACTTCTCAAGAAGGTCAAGGCCCACGGGTCTAAGGTCATCGGTGAGGTCAAGGTTGAGAATACAATTGGTGGCATGAGGTATTGCCAGCACCAACAATATACACTGATTTCAAAGAGCTAACATTGATACAGAGGGCTAAAGGCCATGGTCTGGGAAGGCTCTGTACTGGATGCGAATGAAGGAATTCGATTTCATGGTCGAACGATAAAGGATTGCCAAAAGGAATTGCCCAAAGGCAAGACGGGCACGGAAATGCTCCCGGAAGCTATGTTTTGGCTCCTCTTAACCGGCAAAGTGCCTTCAGTTGGTCAGGTCCGCCAACTATCGCGTGAACTCGCCGAGCAGGCTCGGCTTCCTGATTTCGTAAATAAACTTCTTGATAGCTTCCCTAGGGACTTACACCCCATGACTCAGTTCGCCATTGCAGTCAGCGCTCTGAACTATACTTCGAAATTCGCCAAGGCGTATGAGCAAGGCTTGAACAAGGCCGACTACTGGGAGCCCACATTCGACGATGTCATTAGTCTTCTCGCCAAGTTACCTACGATCGCAGCCAAGATATATCAGAATTCCTATCGTGACGGTGGTGCATTACCTGGCGATGTTGACCCCGAACAGGACTGGTCCTATAACTTTGCCTCTATGCTAGGCAAGGGTGGAAAAGAGAATGAAGACTTCCAGGACTTACTAAGACTATACCTTGCCCTGCATGGAGATCACGAAGGCGGAAACGTCTCAGCTCACGCGACTCACCTTGTCGGAAGTGCCCTAAGCGATCCGTTCCTGAGTTATAGCGCAGGCCTCCAAGGCTTGGCCGGACCTTTACACGGGTAAGTCTTCTAATTATTATATGGCCCATGTGCGAGACCTAATCAGCGATACCTCACAGACTCGCCGCGCAGGAGGTTTTACGGTGGATTATCCAGATGAAAGAAAGCATCCCAGAGAACTACTCTGAAAAAGACGTTCACGATTACCTGTGGTCAACACTCAACAGCGGTCGAGTCGTTCCAGGTTACGGGCATGCTGTTCTTCGCAAGCCCGATCCCCGCTTCGAAGCTTTGATGGATTACGCTGCCAGTCGTCCTGCAATTGCTAGTGACCCTGTATTCAAGCTCGTCAAGGCCAATAGCGAAATTGCTCCTCAAGTTTTAACTAAGCACGGGAAGACCAAGAACCCCTACCCTAACGTCGACTCGAGCAGTGGTGTTTTGTTCCACCACTATGGCTTCCACGAGACACTGTATTACACGGCAACGTTCGGTGTTAGCAGAGGATTGGGGCCCCTAGCTCAACTAATTTGGGACCGTGCTCTTGGCCTACCCATTGAGCGGCCTAAGAGCATAAATCTAGAAGGAATATTAAAACAGGTGGAAGCTTGAATGAGTAAATATGTAAGGTCGCACTTCTTTGGCGTTGCTCATAAAGCATTTGAAGCATTAGATTTTTCAACGACGGCATTATACTCATGCTTATCCAATGATGACGATGTTCCTCTCGGTCGCTTACTGTAGCATATGCTACATATGTAAAGATCCGTAGCATGAAAGTAAAGTTGCCTTAGGATTAATGTTGTAAGAATTTAGATTTGCCTAAGGTAAAAGATTGTCAGCTTCGTAACTGCAAATGGCTTTCCTTGCTCGATTAAGAGATCATTTGAATTGATACTGACCTGAGATGGCATGAATCTCAGTCATTTTAGGGCTATTGTTCATGCAGTATGTAAATGGTTCGTGTACGGTCAACGGTAGAATCGTGAAAGTCATCTCTGGCTATTCGAGTCAAGTTTTCGGTGTTGACAAATACTCTCTACAAGTGTTATAAGTCGCTTGAAGAAAAGAAGCATACAGCAAAGAGACATACTCTTGTGCCCTTTTGGTGGCACGACGTATGTTGTACGCTTTACCTACTTCGCGAGATAGCTTCTAGCCCCTCAGCGGGGTGAAAATACGACATTGACAGCTCCGACCATCGAAAAGAGCTAATCCAGGGCTTTACTGGCGTGCCCATGAGGCCATGAGGGGAATTTATTATATTAACTATTAACCGCTAACTACATCTCGGTTACTGGATCGTCTAAATTTGGATGCTACGGGATGGCGAGTGCTACGAAGCACTGCTACTACATTAGGTACGTACAACGTTCTTACGTCGTCTTCGGTATCGTTACAATGGTATCACGTCAGGTGGTCGAGACAACTTCAGCTGACAGTCCAGATCATGCAATAAATACATACGTCTGTCTATACGACCATACGGGCCGTGATCTGGAAAGTTCGGACTAGAGCACGTCGTCGAGAACCAGCTCGTCGAGGAGATGGTCTAGCCCGCGAGACGACTTTTTCCAGTTCAGACCGTCGTTGGGGGGAGGGCGAGAAGCTTTTTTTTTTTTTTTTTTTTTTTTTCGGAGCTGGCTGGATGGAACTACGACAAGAAAAATACGGACCCCCGTTTCCATCTCAAATCCATCCTTGGACAACACGTGTAGGCGGCATGTAATGTATGTATATGTGTCTTGGGCTTAGCGCGCATTTCTTTTCTGTTTTTGTTTTTTTCCCCCTGGTGCTCGCCAACGCGGCTAAAGAGGTTAAAGAGGCTCGAAAGGCCAAATAGGGAGATTGTTCCAATGCTGACGATCAAAGTCCTACACGACCCGAGCGTTCTAGCCAAAAAGCTTGCTGACGGAGTCGCCCGGTTCTCGCTGTTTGATAAATGTTTCTGGATTCATCAAGGCTCGTCACGATCCCCCCCCGTTTTTGGGATCCCTCAAGCGCTGTTAGTTCCCGTTGTATCCTTTCAACTCGGATGGTCCTAAGAAGAGTTAGGCCTGGCGGTTGACGGTCCGATGCTTCGACTTGATATCGTCTGGTCTACGTTCGAGACGCCCTAATATTATAACTTTCTACCTAGTGGGATGAAGGGGTTTGCCGGTACTTTTGTCCTTTCTATTCCTAGGTCTCTATCTCTCTCTCACACACTTCTTCTTCTGTCTCATTACGTAGGTAGGTAGGCTGGCTGATATTGGCTCTTCCGTCTGACGTAAATGCACTTCGTTATTACACTCGTTTATGATGCATTCAAGCTATAGTTGATGAAGCCTAGGTAATATATCAATACCCTGTTCTGACTCAAAATAGTATCAGCAGCCATGTCTGTGTCCTCACGCACAGTGGCTCCACGAAGGCGCCTCGCCCGTTCGTTGGGACCTAGATTTCCATGCGGTCTAGATTGCATATACCCAGCATCTTGTTTCTGGAGCCTCCATCATTCTTACCCTACCCGCGGGTTCGAATCGAATTCCACATAGTTGGACGGTGAGTTGCTTCAGTCCCGCATCATGTGGTTTAGCTTCTAGTATCGGTCAGGGGTTTGGATTTGCTGATGCTTCTATAAAAAGAAATCCGTCCCGAACCAGCGGAGTAGCTATAACAGCTAGTCTTCCTAGTATTAATTTGATTTCATCTATTCTTCCATGACCGTCAATTCAACCGTAAATTTATGGATGAGGCTGGAAGGTCCATGGCTAGGGTCGAGCTCATGGATCGCGAGGTCTAGGTTCGCATTCTATTCCCGGAATTAATCAGCGCGTCTTCTTACGATTTCTCACGGCTTCCCATCATGTTGTCTAGAGCGTCTTGGGCTGCTAGAGCCTGTTCCCCGGGCTAGTCGGGAGACGAGTTCTAACCATCAGCCTAGGCTCCAGGGTCGAAGCTAGATAGCGGGTTAGAGATGACGACGGGAAAGTTATAAATATACGACCTCATCCACGATGAAGTAGATCTTTTCCGTATCAGCACAATACAGCAGATTCTCCCAACCCAATTTAAACCTACTCGTCTATCAAAACCCTCATACAAGTCCCTTTTACCTAGATAAATAACAATCATCATGCGATCCTTTGTTGCTCTACTTACTCCGGTCCTCGCCGCGGCCACTCCCATCGGTATCATCGGCGGAAGTGATACTCCTAAGCCAGATGAGATTAGCATCATCAGCGCTTCCGCCAGTGGAAACGGGTGCCCCCAGGGAACCGTGACTTCTGACCTCTCGACCGACCGAAAGGTAAGGATTTTAGTTCTCTCGATAAAGCCGGTTCTATGACTAACCGATCATCTAGGTCATCACCTTCGGTTTTGACGCTTTCCAGGTCTACACCGGACCTGGCACCAAGCAGTCGGACAAGTCCAAGAACTGCCAGCTTCACTTGAACCTCAAGTACCCTGGAGGATTCCAGTTCGCTATCGTCGAGTCTACTTACCACGGATACGCTCAGCTCGAAACCGGGGTCACCGGTACCTTTTACTCGACCTACTACTTCTCTCAGGATGCCGCCGCTACTGTAAGTATTCTACCCCTGACTCCGCTATTACATCCTGGATTTAAGGATCTCACTGACACATATCAGACCACCACGAGGACTTCGATCGACGGAGGCGGGCTCTGGGCTGATGGCCAGGTATACACCAAGCAGGACCAAGTCCCGACAGCTTCCGTCATCTGGTCTCCTTGCGGCGCCACCGGAATTCTCAACGTCAACAACCGCATTGCGCTAACGTCGAGCAACGCGAGCGCCTCAGGCCAAATCTCCGACGACGACGCCACAGTCGCCTTTACCCAGCAAGTGCACGTCAGCTGGCAAGCTTGCAAATAGATGAGATGAGCAAAATTGAGTAATTTGTAGAGAAGGCTGGGTTGGGTGGACATGTAAGGCAAGATACTAAGAAGAGAGTAAAGGGGAATGGGGCTTGGTTACCTGACGAGTAAATCACTTGTACATACCTCTATAGGATAATCCAATCACCTCTTTCAAACTGGAACCATTGGCGAGATATCTTTGTACGTGCTTCCCGTGCTATCTTCATGTCTCTATTTTTGAATTATAGATAAACTCAGAACACATGTAAGGCTCAGTATTCTCTAAGATACTTACTAGGTATCTTATTATTAATCTTCTATACAACACCTACGGATGCCAATGTCGTTCCTAGAAGTAGACAGGAGATTTGATGGGTGGATCGTCCAAATTATAATTGAAGCGATTCCGTTTTAGCATCGACTAGAATTACAGAAATGCAGTGCTTTTATGTCATGTAAATTTAGATAGATGTTAAGAAATCCAACTATCGGGGTATTGAAAGATTAAAAAGCACTCATGATCCTATCGTAGCCAGCCGAAAACGGAACATCTCCTGCCATAGCATATTCCCTACTCTTTTACTCTTTTATCAGAGTTCTCGATGCAACTGCCTCGAAATTATCCCGACTACATTTATTTATTTAGTCACCTTTCCCACCCTTATAAACCTAGCAATAGCAAATATCAAAGTCCACCTCGTCCAGCCATTACAATCCAGCCTTATCATCGAGATCCTCCGTAAGCTCCGTACGGGTTGCCTTGGGGTCCCGGAGACCCCAATTGGCCAGGTCCGTTGGAGGGTGAGAAACCGCGGTTGATCGGAGATGTAGAAGTTGGGGCCGGAATTTGAGGAGTTGGGCCTGAACCTGGACTATCTCTGTAAGTGCCCATCGTATCGTCGCGAAGTAGCGGCATGGCGGCACCACTTGAGCCTGTCGGATCCCAAGCTTTCTCTGGTGGGCCGGCAGAGCTTCCCGGAGGCGAATCCGATATGCCATAAGCCGTACTAGCCATTCCGCTCTTGGAGTTGTACTCGGCCCCATCGAAAGCGAGCGCGTCAGGATCTCTCCCTTCCTTCTTGAACCTCTCCAACTCTACACGGTCTTGTTCAAGTCGCTGAGCCGCAAGAGCAGCCTCTTGCTGACCACGACGTCTCTGCTTGAAATAATAGAAGATCAAAGCAGCCAGAAGAATAGCGCCAACTCCACCTGCAGCGGCATAAACGCCGGATTTGGTGCTAGAAGGAAGATCATTCCATTTATCAGAAAGTGACTTCTCTGGTTCCTTGTTAATATTCTCAAACGCCGTGGAGTTTCCGCTAAATTGTGCAAAATTAGCCTAAACCAGTCGTGACACACAAGGACATATTCCCGCCTAGAAAGCAGACTTACCTCGCTATTTTAATGCTCTCCCAGGTCCCACTATGGTCGCTGTAGGAATATTCCTTACCGGAGGAGTAGTCTTCGACAAGAGCACTCTTCACGTACATCGTGTGCGGTTCGGAGTAATCCGTAACTCCACCAGCCCATTCAATAACTCCCTTCGGTGCGTCCGGATCACCACCGGCCCAGATACCGAGACTGAGCTTCATCGGCGTTTGGGGGTAGGTTAATGTGTTATTGGCATCCTTGGGCAACAACGTACGGATGAGCCCACCGTCTAGCCACCACTCTAATTTTTCCTTTGTCCACACGCAAGTGTAGTTGTGATAATCGTCTAGCACTCCGCCATTGACAGGATGATCTCCTCCGTTTTTCCAGTCCTGCATTCCTTTTCCAAAGTAGTTAGAAAACGCATGGGTTGCATTTCCTCCCTTGAATTCCCAATCGACCTCGTCGAGAACATCGGAAGACCAAACAATGGAGCTGATCACACCAGTACCGGATGCTGCTTTCAATAGCACTTCTGTTTTTCCAAAGAAGAAATAGAAATTCGAGGTTAGGGTTACCGATTCGCCTTTCTTGCGCATCGTGAAGGCAGCCCCTGTATCAGGGTTGTAGTCGACAGCTCCGGCAGTCAAATTGAACACATGTTCCGGTGGCGTAGCATTGAAATTGAACATATGCATTGTCCCGAGAGCTGGGTCTGGCGGGCAGGTCTTCTTCATGGGATCGCAATCGGTGTATAACTGAGCGGCGACAGGAGATACGAACACGGAAGAGAATAGCGCAGCGGCTAGCATCAAATATGATTTAGCCGACATCGTGACAGATGATCGAGGACTCGGCCTCGGGTCGTGATAATTAAGCAATGGAGCTATATAGTCAAATAAATCAACTACCTCCTAGAAGATAGCGATAGTGCAAAGCGAATGTGGTAACCCCGTTATACCAGCCAAGGGGTCGTGAGTAGATAATCTTTATAATCTGTTGCAACCTACTACGAGACTATCTCGTCGACCGCATAGTCTCTAGTAGTAGGCTGGTTTCTAGAGTCGAAGCGGTGATGATAGCTCGTAAGCAAGCACTTATATGTAGGAGACAACGTCGCCAAAATGTTAAATTGCTCAAACTAGAGATTAGATAGTAAAGATGATATAGGTTATATATGTTATATACGGATTAGGTAGGTAGGTAAGAAGTAAGGATCGTGGGTATCGTGTTTCAAGTGGTTGATGGCGGAGTGATGAAGGAGTGTGTGATGCGTAATTTTAGACAATTGGTTATTAACAAGACTTTTCTAGCAAGCATTGATATAAGCATTAATGAGTGACAGAGAGATTTAAGTTGGATAAGTGAATGAACGGAAGAACGATTCAAAAAAAAAAAAAAGTAAAGAAAAGCCCCTTATTCATTCATTTCGTCCTCCTTTATTTCCATGAGGGACGCGGGACGCGACATGCTGTGAAAGGGTCAAAAAGGAATATGGACCTAATGTAGGTACCTAGGTACTTACGTAGAATGTAATTTGAAAGTTACATGGAAAAGGGGGCTTCGCTAACCAGTCAAGATCAATTAACGCCATCAATTAAAAGCCAAGGCGGCTAGCCAAGCAGCGAAGCAACCCGGACCCACGTGTAAAATGTTAGATAAGGTAACAAGGGACCAGGGGTATTTGCCGATCTGCAACGGGCTTCGTTCGATGCTATACTTATTAAGGATTAGTTGATCGGCATCGATTAAGCTAATCGAGGCGGTCGGCTTGTACCTAAATGTAAATTGCCCAGTAATTTCATTTAACCTCTAACAGATGACGTAAGTATATATACTTCTCACATAGGTGGAATTATATACCGGATAATAAGTAACGCTACATATATAGACCTAATGATGTCTTAACCATATCAATTAAATACTTAAATACATGTATCCCTTCGGCTACAGACATAGCAATATGTATTGGATCTACACCAATAGATCGTGTACCTTTATTGTTTGTTTATGCGTACCTAAGTACCTTATATACATATGTACCTCATACATATACCGCCTAGATGTGCCCAGTCTGCCGGTGCTTCAATGAAACAAACACGCTTATGCAAAACTACCTCACACGGGCTTAAGTTGAATAATAAATATCCTATCTTCGCGTCTTGTTCTTGTACTATTACTACCCGTACTATTACTACCCGTACTATTACTACCCGTACTATTACTACCCGTACTATTACTACCCGTACTATTACTACCCCTCGGAAACTCATGTTGCCTAGATAACGTCTAACCGAGCCATTCAAGAATTAGTAAAGAAAAAAAGGTAAATCTAAGCTTGTTTTATTGATTTCATCCTTATTTCTGAGAAGATTAAGTAGGTAACGATAATTACCATAATTAATATGTAAATATAAAAATGTACGCATACTATGATCAGTTACCAGGAAAAGGTCATGAGAGCAGGGTTGAGTGCAAGAGGTAAAAGGAAATGACTGCTCGACACGGTAGCCATGGGTAAAATAGCGACAAAATCTGTAATACGCCAGTCGCTCGGAATAAAAGGCGCAACAGCTATAATGATCATTCCCACGATAGAGAGTAGCGAGAAGATCATAGAGAATTTAAATTTCTTTATGACCCTTGGAACCTCGATGAAGAAATTCGAAAATTCGGCCTCTTTTGATGTCGCGCCCCAGCTCATGTCGATTTCGAACATATGACACAATAACGCCTGACTTATATGGAGAGACAACCCTCCTAGAAAGATAGCTAGAAGGGACGTCCACTTGAAGTTTTCATATAGGGCATACGCAAGTGATCTTTCTCCCACACGGTATCTCATCATGGCTAGACCTATGTTGCCGAGGCCGTTGAAGACGATAATGATAGAGAACCAAACTTTCCAAGAGTCGATATAATACTTATCCAGGTACCCGTTAAACCAACCCACTATGAAATAGTTGACCGTAGTCATGATCCATGCTGCGCCGATAGCATAATACGTACCGATGTATGAGAGGATCGTGATTTTGGATGTCAAGCGGACACTAGAACAGAGGAATTGACGAAATAAAGGCGTGAAGGGTCCCTTCCAAATCCACTGCCGAATAGGATGGAAGAGCAGTTCGTTGCATCCGTACGCATACTTCTCCCATCGGGCTAACTCGTCATAAACGGTCAGAGAAACGCCTTCTTTGAAGCCCTCTCCAGCCCATGCAGCAAGGCGAATAATATACCCGCGGCACTGCAGGCGAAGGGACATGTCAAAGTCTTCAGAGACGTGCGATTCAGACCAGAACTTTTCGTACCCATCTTCATCTTCGTACGAAACCTGCTGAATTGCACTCCATCGTAGTATAGCGTTATGGCCGACGAAGGGGGCAACGTCGCCGTTGGAGACCGTATACCTAATGGCGCTATATATGAGGTTCGTGAAGAATGTAATGCCGTTCTCGAAATATGTATGGACGACCTGCATAACACCGGAAGAGAACTGCATGATGCCAATGTCGAGAGATTGTTCCATCTCTGAAACTGCATCTAGAAGACAATCGGATGGAACACGTGTATCTGAGTCGACTGACGTTATGGTTAGTCTTCTTAGGTCGAAGCCAGCATTCTAGAACGGTCGGAATAGGGTACATACTAAGGAGAATATAGTCGCCGACACGAATGTTACCATCAGCCCAAGCCCTGCCATCCTCTTCGAGAACCTCTTTCAATGCTTGCTCGTAGGCGAAAGCCTCGTCTATCTGTGACCATCCGGGGCCGCGATGGTACACTGCTAGCCTATCCTCCACCTTGCAAGTGATCATAAGTCCGAAATTCATATTAGAAGCTTTCTTAAACTTGCCGCGGCGCAGGAATCCGTTTTCGCCGTGCTTAGGACGGGCTACCCAGCCTATGCTATGGCTGGCATAGAAGTCGATACGAGCCATTCGCTCCTCCTCAGGGATAAGCTGTAAACCGTCATCATTGATAAACAAGTTTGCAGAGCCACCTTGCAGCTCATATGTGCTAATAGCACGCTGTACGGATCTAACGGTGGGTTGGATGACACCTGCGAGACCTTCTTTGTAAACTGGACATTGTACGGTCTATCGTCGATATGAAGTTAGGACGTTAGCATCGATACATCCAGAGGGGTACCCACGCTGGGGTAAAATAGCATCCAACGAACATGATAATATGGTGTTATTACCTAGAAAGAGGAACACTTTTGTAAGAATAGGTACGTACTTACAACATGTGGTAAGGTCACAGTTGCCAGCCGAGGAGGTGGCCGGGCAGAATAGTATTTGGAATTGATTGTAAGCTGTCGGATAGGCCCGAACATCTGGGACATGCATCCGACAAGGACCTGGGCGAAGAATAGGGAGAAGAAAACTTGAATCGGGAATAGAACTACTAGACCTAACCGTGCAAAGCTGTCGTCAACCGAAACTTCAATAGCAAGCTGTCTCCAAGCCGCGCCCAGGGAAATAGTAATCAGTATTATGACGATAGAAACGAGGTACGTGTTTAAGAGATGTACCGGTCTCTTTTCGGGGTCGATTTGGCCGCTCTCCTCGTCTAGTTCGATTTCTCCAGAAAAAAACTGTGGATTTTTCTCTAGATTTTTCTCCCCTTCATCGTCGCTAATCCCGTTACGTTGCCAGACCAATTCCATCAACTCCGACTCGATGGCTTGAGCTCGTTGAACGAGATGTAACGCATCATTGTCCCAGACGACCAGCAACGATTCTGCTGCTAAAAAAGCTGCAGACTGGTGCTTTCTTGCTCTTGATAGCTCGTCAATTGATGGCATGATTTGAATTCGAAGGCCATTTATTAACGGTACGTCCGTAGCGCCGGGGGACCACGAGAGGAATGTCTTGATGACCCTGGAGTTAATAGTCATGGCGCACTATGAATTATTTAGTAAACACGGTCTTGTATCAGATGTTGGAAATAAAGCATTACCTCCACGTTAAGAGCGGAGCAAGCCATCGCGATTGTCGAACTCGTTAACGAAGGTGGACAAGTCAAGTATTGCCCCTTTCCCTTACGGAGGAGAACTCCCTCCAACTCTCCACTTCCGTCGCCAACCCAAAGATGTGAACACTGTTGTTGATATAGAAAATTTACCATAACCTCGTGCTTTATATCGTCCAAAAAAACTGTTCCCGTTATAGATCGGGCAGAACGCTCAGAAACCGAAGTTCTTGATGAACCATACTCCAACGGCGCAATAGGAACGGTGAAATCATTCAAATTTATGAGCCCGTTAAGAACCCTTTCTGCGAGAAACCCCCTACTTGTCAACTGAGATGATCTTTTCTTTTTTTCGTCGATCGGCCGTTTCGCCTTAAAGTAACCAGACAAGCCCATTCTGCGAGTTGCGCTCTAGACATAGGGATATATTTTATCGAACCGAACGAATGAAAAAAGACCGATTACGTGGGTTAACCCCTCAGGACTAAGCAAAATCCGCAGTTTTGATGAGAAAAAAGGAGCGTCGTCTGTGGGCCGAGGGGCGAGCAGGTTAGCATGTTGGTAGTTAGTAAGGGAAATGAAAGCGATGATACGTAATAGCAACCGTGGCATAGTTGCGCCGCGAAACCATTCATGTTGAAACCGCAGCATGAGAAGAAGCCTCACTACACCAGCGATGAAATATGAAGAACTCACAACAGCAAATAATTCAAGTAACTATCGTCGTGAAGATGCCAAGCGGAGATTCGACTGGCACGCGTATAATCTGCGCTATCCGCATAATAGGGTGGCATCACTCACACTATAGTTGGCCTTTATACCAAGGCCAGGTGGCAGCTCTTAGAGAGATATCTAAATAATATCAGAGCGTTGGGTATCATAAGAAACGAGAAAAGGTAGTAAAGATGAGAAGGATAAATAAAGATATTTGAGTTGGGAGAAAACTTTACTCGGAACTTCACTCGGACCTTGGAAAGATAATATTGAAACACTAGCGAAAACTGTACTTGTTAGTGCGACTTCAATAGTATGAAGTGGCTTACGGTCCAAGCAGTACAGATTAGGGATATCAGGTTGCTTTGAACTAATAAACTCTAATAAACACTTACATATAACCAATGGCTGCCACATCAACAACAACAATATACGCTAGGTAATTTCAGCCGCAGATAACAGCAGACGACTAAAATAGAGGCCCAACTGGTTCTAGAAGCCAAAGTAATAGATCTGCGAATCATTTTCTAGTGCCACTTACTTCTACTAGACCGTTGTGGTGGACAGACGAAGGGGTAACTCAATTTCCCAACTATTACCTATACCAAATTCCCTATCAAGGTGCGTTGTAGCCAAGGTCCGTATAGAGAGTTACATGAGACCGTAGCTGACTGCAGTTTTCTGATGCTACATCATGATAGCAATGGACTCTTTCTAATACTACATACCTACATAAGTACCTTGGAGTTGGGGTCAATACAGTATCTTCTCGGCTCATTCTTCCAAGATATCAGGTACCTAAGTGGTTAAGTAGGTATTTACCTAGATAACAACGATTGAGTGGATTATCAGCTACGCCTATAGAGAATACAGATAGCATCGGGCCGAGGCTCTGACAACTACAATACAGGTAGAAAAGGAACGCCGTTCGGATAATGTTGGCAAGATAACGCGAGGTGGCGGATGTCGCTTAGCAAGGGCAAAGAGGATCTAGGCAAGCCAACGCCGATGTGCGAGGCAATATATTGATGCTGAGCTAGGTCAGGAGTCTGGGCCTTCGTGGCTGGCATATGCAGTTCTGGCAGATATAGCTGCACCGACCCTACGGGCATAGAGGCGCATTTTCCAATAGCGACGCAAACACAAGCTCCAGCTTCTTCCAAATCGAGCCGGATGGCCGATGTATATGACTGCTGTGTGATGAGGCACATCGTCATGATGGTTACGATACGGTTGAAAGTGAAGAAGACGTGATATGATTGGCGCACAGCCGAGACTTATGCATACTGCAAGTGTTGTCATCTTTCTCGTATTCCCGGCGCAAACTGCATACGGACTTTTCGATATCAGTTCTTCTAATAGGTGAGCGCACCAAGTATCTTACCTATCTACGACCTAGATGCGTAGCAAAGCTGTAAGCTACGGTCCGATTCATGTCGTATGGGTTACATTGAGATGCTTGGTAGATAGCCACAGCGTTTCGGACTATTTGTTTGTGCCATTGACATCAAGCATGGCGCCTAGCGGTAAGCGGCAACTTCCAGAAACAGAGATAGTCCGGTTCGTGATAGCTGCTTTAGGATGATCTATATGATGCATATACGAAATGAACAATTATTGTGATAGATCATATTAGTCGTATACTTCAAATTATATTGCTTACCTACCTAGGTACCTACATTCTCTATTGCGCACTTTGAAGCGTATAGATAGATATATTTAGCAAAGTAATAGAAAGTGGCAAACTAGGTACCTAAGGTACCAAACCTATTTCTAAAGTCGAATCTTATCAATCAAAGATAATGTTTGTTAGATAGTTCTTAACAAGGATCGTTTTTTTTTATCTCGGTAATCCGGCTATTCACTATTGAGCTATTGATTGCCGCTGGAGTTATGGAGCGTTACACCGCAGCAAGCCCCCATCGTCTCCTATTAACCACCTCCTAACCTACCTACATGTATAGGAGGTATATTCTCCAAACCTCAACGGCCTACCTCCTTATAGTAGGTACCAAATACCTACCTAACCTACCTACCTTATGTACCTAGGCTAGATAAGTAAATATGTAACATATATTGGAATTAAAATGAAGTCTTAGCTGTCAAATAATCTCTATAGCGGAATAGTACTCTGACAATATCGTCTATGTCAAAATATAGTAGATGTTCTAGACGCACGTTCGAACATTGCGGCTGAACTTGCCTCGACTAGTCGAGACTTGAGAAGCTAAGATGGCAGCTTAGCAACGTGGTAGTTCAGGGGTTAGTGTCGATCAACTGAGCACGTTCTCGGAAGCTAAAGCGTAGCTTGACATGACTACGAAAGCATTATTAAGTACCTGGACAAAGCGTCTGCAATTGCAAAGTCGCTATTAAAAATTTAAGGTATACCGACCTAACGTTCTGTGACATCTAGGCCTTCGCTATATGAATAAACATTATGATGTATCCGTAATACCAAGAAATGTCGGGTGTGCTTATCTTTCCAAGCCTTCTCCTACTTAGAAACCTGAATAACTTCGGACGTTTACCCAATTACAACTCCTCGTTCCCGTCGCACTGTTGCCACATGATAACCTTGCTTACTTCCATTGACGGGCTGGTCCAAGTTGGTAACCACGAACTCTGTGCGTTCCAAAAATCTTTCTTGGTATTGGGATTATTGTCAATCCACGGCTTGCCGCTCTGTGAATCCTCGAACCAACCGTTAGTGCCACCAACGGCGACATTCAATATTAGGTAGAATTTCTGGTCAAAGGGGGTGCTGAAACGTCCCGTCCGGGACCAAGAATCCACTAAACGTGAACCGTTGCTAGTAGCCTCAGGGAAACCACCACGTCTCCAAAGCGGTTCATCAAAATTAGTGTAGAGGACCTGCAGGAGGCGGGAGTTGACATAGGTGAAGAGGTATTTCTGAGACCACTCGACGCCGAACGTATTGAAACCGGAAGAGTATGTTGTATGCAAAGCCTTACGCTTTACATTAGTCTTCCACCACGCGTCATTGTTAGGATCTGGTCCCCAGTGTAGAGCCGACGATACGATATCGTTGCCTCCTTGACCGTATGTCCAATTGTTCCCTCGGCTCTCCATAATATCGATCTCGCCGCTAGCTGGCCAAGGCCCGTATGTATCATTGACGGGCATCATCCAGATGGCCGGCCAGAGCCAATCTCCCTCGGGAAGTTTAGCGGTAACTTCAACGCGGCCGTATTTGATAGTTGCTCCTTTCTTGGTATGAATGCGGCCAGATTTAACAGGGGGGACGATGGTTGCGTTCCCGACGGTGGTATTCGTCGCAGCTATGCAATCAGATGGTTCTTTGGAAGTACATGTTCCATCTTCTATGAGGTTGATTAGAGAATCTTTAGTGATTAGGTTTGCATCTTGAAGGGTTGGCTTGATGAAGAGATGGCCGCCGTGTACATAGACATTCTCATCACCTCCGGTAGTCTGTTCAAATTCGCCATTGCTATATAGGTAAGCTGTTAGTTTCAACAAAAACATGAAAACAAATTATATTTCGCCTTACCCAAAACCACCGACCTGGACCTCTTTTGTCCATACGTTATCGTTGAAGGTCGCAAAATTATCTTCAAGTACTAAGCAATAATTATGCTTAGCGACGGATCGTAGCCCGTCCCATACCAGAAAAGCAGATATGCCCAAACCCACCAAGAAACCCGTAACAGGAAGAATAGTAACCCATTTCTCTCTGTGGTCTTTCTTCTTGAGCCAGGGCTTCTCTACTTCCTCTCCTTTCTTGAGCCTTCGTGAGTGAAAATACCGTTGCGCAGCTGGTCGCCTATTAATACCAGAGCTCTCACTAGATGCTGGGCGCGAGACTGATGACGACGCGAGAGGGTTTGTAGGTCCTACCCGACGTGAATGTTGGGAGCTTCCTACATCGTCTCTCGAGGGACTCCGATCTGTATTAGGTGTAGGTAATGTTGTTGGGTTAGAAGAACTACCAGCTTGCTGTTGTTCCATCTTACTCCTCGCAATTTTTTAACTAATACCTAGGTAATATCGAATATGGACCTGAGAGTAAAAGAAAACTTGAGCTCAAAAATAGTGAATGATAAAATAAAGAGAGAGGCGAGAGACTGCGGTCAGAGTCAACTATATTATTGAATGGCGATGGAGGACTATTTATAAGAGAGCAAACACAAAATATAGTTGCATGATAAAACATATATAAGGTTAAAGTACACTATACGTACGTGCTGTATCTTATCACGGACGGTCATTGTGCTCCTATCTAATGTATGCCTAGATGTAAGCAATAGGTAGGTGCTACTACATAGGAGGTAGGTAGGTACATGTAGGTAGTTCGTAATAGATACTTTATATTTTGTATGGGCACGTCTAGAAATGCAGGTACATCCTCTTCATCAGTTACAACCAATAAACTACCAGGTATATTTCCCTCCCCTCCTCCCTTGAAGCTTTAGACGGTACCTAAAGCTTAAAGTTAGTAGCCGAGGGGTCCCGACTTACCTATAGAATTAGTGTAGTTGACAAAAGGTGGGGGAGGTATGTTAGGCGTAATAAGATACGGACGCTAGCCTGAAAAGGTTATCTGCTCAACTTTTATCACCCGTCATCTAGGGGAGCTAAATAAGAGAGCTAAACAAGGGAGCTAAATCACTAATATTGAAAGTGGCGTTTTATCATTGTACTGATGATGAGATGGTTAATAACAGCGAGGCTAGACTCTAACGGGATACGATTAATGAACGCTCTAGATAATCTGGTGGCTGGCTAATGTTCGATGCATGGTTACATTCTAGCTATTGATAGATTACAGAGCGGATGAAAGAATTCCAATGATTATTGTCGCATGCATCGATGGTATCGCCCAGCTGATAAATGATTGATGGCCAGACTTTTATACGTAGTACCGTGCTAACATGCACTTATCCGAATTCAAGCATCGAGCCCCTTGTCGCTTATCTTGATCGTATTGATAAGAGCTGCATGGAAATTAAGTAGAAGTATTCGATTCATCCGAAGTATGTCATCCGAAGTATGATGAGACGAATAAATACTTAGTTACGTCAAGTATAAACTTCGCAAGCTTAGTTTGGATTATAAATAAATTTAAGAAACGGGATCTTATCTAAAGTTATCTAGCAAGACTAAGGTTTAATCCGAGATCATCTAGCGTATGCGCATTGAGATCTACATAGGTTAGGTTCCTCCTAACTTGGGCATTATGTAATAAATAACCCTCTTCAAATAAACGTCACTAAACTCAACAATGATTTTATGGTTGTTTGTATTAATATCTGTAAAATTAGTTACTTTCATAAGCTATCTTTCGTAAAAAAGAAAACAAGAAAATCAATTCGTGCATTATGTTTTTTGTACAAATTAGTTACCTATAGTCACTACCCTCATGATCTTATTCTGAATAGTCTCATGCATGAGTATACTTACTTTAAAACCTATAATATTAAAAAGGCTCATAAGAGTCACAAGAACCGGTCGATACTATTACTCGCCTTTCAGACTAATTCAGATAGGGACATTTTGAATCTACTTTACTAAAAAGACATGCCTAATAAATTTCATTATGTTGATTTTATTTTTCAGTTATTAAATTTACACGACGCTCTCCCACAAGGAACAACTTTTAATTAAATCAAGTAAATATTTTATTATCTCAAACGTTATCTTGTATGTAAATATTTGACACTATAGGTGACACAGTGATGTCGCAAAGACTATCTTTCTAGTAGAACCGAAACCTCATTTCGTACCGGGTTTACTCCAGCTAGTAAACATTTCAATTAGACGGTGACAATATACCCTTCTCTATTCAAGTTATTGGCAATTTACAATTATAATTCAAGTCAAATAAGGTGCTAAATTTGTTTTGCATAACCAGCCATAGGTGTTAGCCCGCTATAATAACTTCTCCTAGTAGGTTCAAGTCTATCACAATAGAGTAATATAAGTCTGAAATTCTTGATGATATCGTAATATAAAATTATATTTGGTAAAGGGTCGTTATACTCCATGGGTATCACGAGATGGGCATAGAATATGTGGAATAACTTCGTTCCGTAATGAGCTTTAATCTAAACTATGGAAGCTCGTAGCTATAGATACGAAAAATATTCTCTTTTAAATTATCGTCTGGAATCCTGATAGTGGCTCTATTCCTATAACATGAGACATAGATAATTACTAGGGATGCTGATAAAGATCTCGTATATATAAATAAACTACGCCTATGCGTCGTTTCCTATGTGTATGGTATATAGTTAAATATAACGGGGACTGCTACTATCACTTCACTTTGGCATCTTCCTCGATTCTCGATAACTAATATCTTTATATAACTATGACTCCTACTTAATACGTATGGATCGGATTGCAGGATTACATGGTGGTGGTCTCAAATAGAAACATCACTGGTTTAGATATAAATTTCAAGTGTATATGCCGCCAAAGTAATATAAGCTGCTTCAAGGCTACTCGAATAACAACCGTTAGTCTTTATGAGTCATATATCATTATGAATATCGATGCGGATCATCTCCTCAACTCGGCGTTGAAGACGGCCAAAAATAGAAAGCCTCGAAAGTTGGTACTAAAAGCCGTATAGAAATGATATGACCTATGGCCGGGAGACGCTAAATGGTATACTAAGCCAAGGAGACTAGGAGATGGTGTCTACGCAGCGGTATGGGGTTGAAGTCGTCGATAGCACCCCCGATTGGCTCCCGCCAGCGGTGCTAAAATGGGATGCCCAGCTAATTCTCGTAATTGTCTACAGGACCTGCCACGGTAGGTGTTTGAGAAGTCGTCAGCTACCTAATATTCGATTGTAAGGTAAGGTATGAGCAGATGGATAGCCATCTGAGTTTAATGAAGGAGCCGGCACATATCCTTCAGATACTTGATTTGAAATTTATTCCTTCAAATATCCCTCCATTCCGCCCTTCGTTTGGCTGCACGTAGTGAGAGCCTAGCCGTAGTTGTCGAGTATACTGAGACCTCGATAACGCCAGCGGGTCCTGAAACAGCGGTTTTTATTCAGAGAACATCCAACGAGGCGCAGATTGTGCCAGGACCTTGGCATTACCCTCGACAATGGAATAGATATGATCAGCTATATTTTATCTCCGATAGATTTTCGGGGACAAGATAGACGTCATTACCGTAGAACGTTAATAGCGGTACTGGAGCTCGATATAGAAACGCAAAGTAATCTGACAACTAAGAGGCGCTGATCTTATATACAATGAGGCTGTCTAGTATTAAAACTGTCCGTCTCATAATATCGCATCGGATGTGCATAGAGATAACCGGGGTTAAAGAATGATAAGCATATAGGATTATGGGTATGTGATGATCGGCGAAGTCAAGCTTTACACTAGAGGAGGCTGACATGGGAACATGGGGGCAAGGTGCACGGGTCTGCCTACGGCAATTAGATGGATCTGGGGCCGGAGATTTATCATGATATTAATATTGATATGATGTGGAGTTGATCCGATTGATTTAAACGTGGGTATGGTATGTCAAGCTTCCCTCAAGACTGTAAATAGCAAATAGCAAATAGAAAATAGAAAAGAGAAAATAGAAAAGAGAAAATAGAAAAGAGAAAATAGAAAATAGCAATTGGCAAATAGTAAATAGCAACTGAGTAGTACGTCAGAGTTTCATATTAACAATTGACTTATCAAGACCCACAATGACAAGTGACAGGTGGCAGTGGGCAGTGGAAGAGAGGCGGAGAGAAAGAGAGAAAGAGGAAGAGGTAATTTAGATGACAGCTAAAGTGGGCTAAATGTAGTGCAGTTAAATGTAAGGTGGTTAAAATGTTAGATACCTATTAATTGTAGTTAAATGTGGTAAAAATGTAAGAGCGGGTGCGGGACCGAAGACCGAGGGCATTGTCGGTATTTCTACTACTTCTAGTAAAAGCTATCGAACATAGGACGAGAAGGAATGCATATTGACAAGTCATATTCGCAATCGCAATTTGATGTGTAACCTATATAGATAGATATGGAAATCTTATTCAGATCTAGCTATTGCGTGTATAATATTTATAAGACGAACGATTGGTTGATTTTCTTCATCATGGCTAAAAAAGATCGACAGCCCCCACGGACCCATACAGACAAACAAAACGAGACTAATACATAGTAAACGAGAGCGAGTGATAATTGTACCTATTCCGTACATCCCTTGACCTAGATGCCTCTGACCTTACAGCCCTATTGGAAATTTGAAACCCTGTCCATTCTGCATGCGTCCTGCATGAGCATGGCGATTGAATGTTGTAAGTGGTGATAGAACGAAAAGCAAAAAGGAAAAGAAAAGAAAAGAGAAAGCCCTTCATAATTGCCGAAATTCGAAAGGAATACCAATGATACCGTTTTCCGCTCCCTTCCGTTTTTTGCCAGTCCCCACCCAAGAATAGGGGAACTCTTCCGCGAGGAAGGATGCTGCTCGATCTAGTAAGTCTATTCTATGCCAACCAATGATACATTGCCGTCTAACCGAAAATGAAATTTACCTACCCAGACAACAGAATAGAAGAAAATAAAAATAAAAATAAAAAAGCAAAAAGGAAAGAGGGAAAAAAAAAAGAAGAAGAAATCTCCGCCACGCCAGCTGGATGATGACGAAACCCCATGCTAATAAACGAAAGTGGATAGATGAAACAGAAATAACGCCATGAAATCTAATAGGGGAGGGAGGAGGGGAAAATGGTATAAAGAAAGATTAAATCGTCGAATCGTAGCTCGCAAGGTACCAGCCCTAGGGACACTGCCCTATGCCGTGCAACCTGCGCGTCAGCGTTGCACTGCTGCATGCTAATTGCATGCTGTCAAAGAAGCCCTGTCGACTATGCGAGCCGCCTTCCGGCCCGCCTCAGCACCTTCGTCAGGTATCCGTTGGCTTGGATAGGCTAGGATAGGTTAGGCTTGTGAGGCTGGTGGTGAAAAGCGGTGGTTATTATTGATGACGTCGGCTAAGAGTATATGCCCGAAACTGCAGGTGCTGTGATCACCAGCAACGAGTTATGAATAGACTGTCCTATACCTAGCAGACCAGGAGGGTCTGAGAAGTTGGGAAGTGCCTATCGATTCTGGTACTGTTGCGTAATGCTTGAGCTGAACAATATGGCTCGTTGTCTCTGTAGGAATCGAGCTGAGACAGGTGGGGACTTGATAGGCTTTTTGGGACATATATGAGAGTATGCAGTCTCGTTTCATCCCGATCTGGATCATCGGTAAGCTTATCTTCGTATTTCGCTTTCGGAATATTCATGTTTTTCCCTCCGCAGGGGTCATGTGCTGGGGTTTCTGGCGTGTATAAGATATTGAGCTTGCGGGTCAGATATTCATAGAATAGCCGTCTCGATAGAGTCATGTCGAGACCACCGGTTTCGAGATTATCCTTTTCTTGACTCATGACTTCATAATCTAAGCTCCTTACGGACCTGCGTGGACTAGGCGGCGGCGTAGGCACGTCAGGCTGGGGGTTGATCGGTCCTGGTCTGATGCGTTATACACGGTCAGCTATAATTTCACCAAATTTGATAACCACCGGTTAGAGAGAGCAGACGTTCCGTAGAGGTGCGTACTGCTATAGTCATGTTTCAAAATGACCACACTCCGGGGGGTTAACAAAGGATCATTGATACTGACCTAGGGCCTGGAGTAGGTGGGCGAGGGGGGTGGGGAAATGAAACTGGCTCGCATATGGCGAACAAGATATTCATAACCCGTACGGCAAGGATAGAGATATTCTCTGCCGTGAGCATCTGCAGCCACTCCATCTCTAATGAAGAATGTGGACTGGGTGGCGGTGTCGGTACCGGTGGACGGGGAGGGATTGGGGGTGGCCGAGGCGGCCCTGGAGTTGGGGGACGCGGTGGATCTGGGAATGACATCTTCCCGGGAACTTCCATATAGTACGCTGCCGAGTTGAACTTGGCATGGTAGAATATCTCCTTATCGTTATCCTTCGATGATAGGACCGATATTGGCCCTGGGCTAGGGGGAACTGACATGGCAAGATGCAGCATCTTCGAAATCTCCGCGTGAGTTTTGCAAGATAGTCACGTTTGATGCGTCTTCGTCTTGGAGTTGAAATCGCCGTGATGGTGATGAGAGGAGTCGTATTCAGATGTGCTTCCAGGAGGCCATTTTATAGTTTTCTTCTGACTTACAGCCAGCGTATTTCCTGGTTGAGGAGGAATAGGGGCACGGCGAAAGGAAGCAAAGGATGTAGGTTAGATGACGGGTCGGGACGTACCGCAACGGATTTCTCATGATCCCACTGCTCAGCAACCGTACCGAAAGAAGCTCTCGTGAACAGTCCTGTGAGGATAAAATAGCCTACCCTGTTAGCCATACCAAGGAGCAGACCACTATGTTGTCATTTTTGGTCCTCTCCACCATAAGCTTCATACACCAAAGGACTCAACTTGCGACGTAGAGTCAGTCCTGCGCCTTTATTATTTGCGGCTCGTGATCAGGCCTCTCCCAGACGATCTCTAAGTGTCCAGAAAAACCAAGTCATCTTGACATACTCTAGAGAGCGAGCCTAGGACAAAGCATGCGTATATTTCGTAACTTGCGGAATGGAGAATCACTAAGCACGCCGTGATCTTCGCCATGTCTTCCTCGCAGTATATTTCTTGAGGAGTTAGGCGTACTGGTTGGCGCAGGTCCGGCTATATCTCGAAAATTGTACACGGATTAGGCGTCCCGTGGCCAAGCAAGTCAGCTCAAGCTCACGATAGCAGGATGGGATATTGGGTATAGTGTCACTTAATTTGAACACGTAGGTAGTACGAATAGACTTGGGAGTCTTTTGGCTATACGCAATGCACTCGGCGTTGGGCGGACAATGGGAATATCAAGTTCTGCGGCGGAGTCCTTAGCCGCAAATGATTCCAATAAGGCTATCAATCTAACTTCTATGTAACAACCTAAGCGAAAGCGAAAGAGAATAAGCGACCACATGAGGATCATATATGGTAACACCGGCAGTCGACGATGCGGCTCATGGTAGCCTAGGGAGAGTCTCCTTTGGTGATTGGATGCCCTACAGTCTTCGAGCTTCATGTAATCGAGCAAGGTACACGAATTGGTGGCCTCTTGGTTACACCATCACGCGAGATGACCAAGAGATGAGTGAGAAATATAATAGCTACCGTAGCCGCGCCGTTCACCTGCCGGCCGATAGCACCCCGATTGGCCTACTGAAGCCATTCGTCATTTAAGATGGTAGTCTTTGGTTGGTCACTGTGACCCGATACCACGGTTGACACACGGTTGGTTTCCGAAGCCACGACCATGACGATGACACGAACCCATTCGTTGGTACGGTTCGATAGGCTATATATCGTTTGTTAGTACCCGTCCCTATTAGTAGACACGCCGAAGCTTGCAAAATGCTAAAGGGGCCGAACGGTTTGCCTTTCGGTATATAACTTACGCATGCATTATTCCGCGCTGAAGTACGACATCACCTGGCTTGCACAGGGTTTCGACAAGCTCGCCGTATGTGCTACGCCCATTGACAACATCAAATGAGTCAGGGGGGGTAATGAGGCTTAAAGTCCCACTCAACACGACAAGATAATCCGTAGATGTTGTACGGTGAACAGCGCCCTCCGTATTGGGGGCAATGTCTAGGTAGTACATATTAAGACCACCCGGAACTAGAAGAAACGAGTCAGATTAGCAATCGCTATTTGTGAGAATTGTCAGAAGTGGAGTTTGGTTTCTAAGACCTATCGTAGGTGATGACAGCTTCTGGAAATGCTAAAATAGGCAGCTTCTGCTTAGAACTGGGAGCGAATGAAGTACAGGGACAATGGGGATAAGGGGGATAAGGAGGATAAAGGGGCTGGCTACATACGCACGATTCCGAGTCCCGGAACAGGATCTAATTCTAAATTTCCACTTGATCGTTCGTCAGCTCTTTTTATTCCTTGTAATACCGTAGACTCTCGTAGGATGGATTGAGATTGCGTCGTCATAAATAAAGGGAAATGTAGAGCGAGACTCACTGTCCGTCGTTGCTAGTTGGCAGTTTCTGGCTAGATGCCACTCTAGCCCTTCTTAACTCGCCTCCCATAATAGGTTCAGGCTCGAGTTTATCAACGCGGACTTCTACTCCAGGTTCCGAGTGCGGCTTCGAGGAGCCTGCCACTACAAGAGGGAGGTTGGAAGCAGTGATGCGACTGGGAGTGGATAACTGGATTGGCGAAGACATTTTGCGATTTGTTTCGAGAGAAGTAAAATCGAAAAGTAAAATAAGTTGGACCGAACCGTGCTTGGTTTAAGAGTCGTAATGTTCAATCTGTATACTTGGGTTTCGTAGAGTTGTTTGATTTAGCCAGGCTCAGATACTCAACCGACGTACCAGACATGATACTTTATATATACTCTCAAGGCAGAGAATATATATGGCTAACTGAAGCAATTAGCTACAGTTCGAGGTATAACATAGATGACAAATGTATAAAATTAATCAGCAATAAATAGTTCTGAATAGCTTACCGATCAACCAACATCGAGGGGATCCGCAAAAATGAGCCAGGATCGAAGCCACGATGGAGCTAAACGCCGACACCACGTTATAGGAGTGAAATTTGATGATAAATCACTACGAATTAATACTAGTACCAATAATTAAGGAAGCAATTGTTGGCCAAGGAAACAAGGTATCGGGAAAACTTCTCGACGTAGTCAAGGGGTTGTTGGGACGATCCCATTAATATCAAGAACGCGCAACTAGACGAATTACATTAGATACCTAACGTAATGTACAACAGTGTCATGGCTATGGATGTTATAAGACATGATAGCCTGGAAGGACCATAAGCAACCGACGTAGGGAAGCTTGATGGAAAATAAACACACGTACTGCTACCAAATTCGTAATCTCAACCTCATATGAAGAATTCCTTGCCATAATCCGGTATTCCTTGTTCCCTGCCAAACGCCCATCCACATGCAAAGAGAAAAAAATATTAGTTCTTTGGATTAGCGGTACCCCCTACCACGACTGCGCGAACGACTGCGAGCTCGGAAGCTGTCATAGCTAGGACTACGTCGTCTATCATTGTCGTAATCATTGTAGCCCTCTCTCTTTCCGCCCCGTCTTCTCGGGGGAGACCGAGACCTAGATGCGAAAGAACCCGAAGGACTACGATTACGGCGCGTAGGTGGAGATCGGGATCTCGAGTATGATCGCGGTCGGTAGGTGTCGAAGTTATCACGACCGGAGCGACCAAAGCGTGGCGGCGAGCGTGGCGGCCTTCCTCCGCCAAATCCACCCCCTCTTCCGCCTCCAGTTCTACCAGAACCTCTGGGGCCGGGCGCCGGGAGTCGAGGGTCGATATTTGCGCCGCGGCTTGCAGTCGGGGGAGAAGGCGAGAATTTGCGTCGGGGTAAAACGATGGAAACATTGATAACCGCTCCATCGAGGACAGCTTCATGCATGTGAGCAATAGCCGCCTCGGCATCGGCCTCGTGGACGTAGAGGATGTAAGCTGTACCACGATTGGTATTGTCTATAAAAAGTTCAGTCATACAAGCTCGCTACAAGAAAGGTGATGCGCACGAATTTACTCACACTGTCGATTCATAGGCATATCTAGGTCTCTGATAGGCCCATACTGGCCAAAGATCTCGTGCAAGTGATCCTCATTGATAGTTTTTGTCAGTTTTTCGACAACGATCTAATTACAAGATTAAGATTAGTATGATATTTCGGAATAAGGATTGATATAAATCATGCGATGATGGGGACGCGGCGAGATATATTTAGAGCGAATCAACTGACCTTAGTACTGCCCTTAAGCGGACTCTCACTTCTACCCCGGTCATCACGATCACGACTTGGGCTTCTGCTCTCGCTGCGGAGCCTGCCGTTGCGACGAGGAGCAGGAGATGGTGATTTTGTAGGGGATCGGCGTCGTCGAACTGGAGAAGGCGATCGAGAATAACGCGACTTGGGGGTTGGGGAACGCGACTCAAAACGGTCTCGCGAAGGCGATCGATAATCCATATTGAAGGATTATATTCGATGTAAAGAGAGGAATTAGTAGCTGACTACAACCAATTGAATGCCTCGGGATAAATGGCAACACAGGATCAATGAACAAAAGGTTGTAAGGCTAAAAGGCTGCGAAAATGGAAGCTATCGAAATTGAGAGTTGAAAGCTTCAATAAAAAGTTGCTAAGGCTGGAAAATCCCAGAATCGGTAAAGGTGGGTGTAGTTTACGTTAGCATTAGCGCACTCTACATACAATTAATGGACAAAAAAACCGAACACTTTAAATTTTAATATATTAAACTTCATTTAAATTTACAACGTTTAATAATATTATATTAAAAAAATTATATATGTAAACTGATATTTATTTTATTTATTATATTCAATTTTAATTTTAGATTTTGAAAAAAGTAAAATTTAAAAATGTAAAAAATACATATTTATATAATTGTTTATTAACCATTTTAAACTTACGTTATAATTTAAAATATTTAACTTGAAAATTTTTCTATTTTTTTATTAAAAATAGCTTTTATTTAATTATAAAAAAATATCATTTTTATATTTATATAATTAAATTTGGTAAAGTTATGATATTTTAAAAATAGTGAGTTTAATGAAAAAACGTTATTTTATATTAAAACTTTATAAAACATATACATTTCAAAAATTCGTAACTTTACCAATTTATATTATAGAAATATATAATTAATATTAATAAACTAATAAATGGCTATTATATTTATAAAAAATAGTAAATATTAAATAATACGATTATTAAAATATTTATAAATTAATTAATTTATATACAATTATTATACTTTTATTTAATATATTTTAATGGTTATTTATAAAATATAATAATAGTAAAAATCATAATTATTAAATATTCATTCCAAATAATATTAAATTAAAAACCGTATAATTTTCGCTAATTTATTTGTAAAGTTATTAATTTTTAAAATATGTAAATATTGGAATAAAATGTGCGGTATTTTTGTCCATTAATTGTACATACCAGTCTAGGTAGGTCTAGGTACCTATGATGTACTTAGATACCTGAGGTATCACCATTGTTGGAGAAGGTACGGGCAGGCAGGTATGTACGTAAACCAGGTACTGCACCTATGCTTCCTGCGCTTCCTGCCTCAGGCAATTATTCATGTCCAATCTAAATTTTAACATCTAAATAATATAAAATAACATAAAATAACATCAATATACCTCATATATGCGGACGTCGCATTAACTATTATGCTTACATCTCAAAAATACCTATCATATTTATTATACGTGCTATACGGAATGCATCAGATTTTTAGTTTTTAAAAGGTACCCAGCAGGTACCTAAGTTAAGTGCTCAATAAATTCAAAATGCCATTTGTGTGTACATATTTACCTCTTCATGGTATCGAACTAAGATGCCCCCCCTTCTTTTAAATACCAGACATGCGATACTCTAATATTCATATCTAAAATTCGGGTTCTCCCTATCCGTCAGGTCTTCAAAAGCGTGAGCCATCCTCTCATCATGAGCCTCGCTAACACCAGCCGCAGCCAGTGCATCCCGCTTCTTATTCTGCCTTGACAGATAAAAGCGGAAGAACAAGAGGATGATAACAAGAAGAGCGTAGCAACCAAGATGAGTTGCAAATGCTGTATGGTACTTAGGTGCTTCGCGTGATAGAAACACTTGGGGACCAATAGCGTTACCTGCCGACCAGAAGATGAAATTGGTAGCCACCACAACAGTCTTCTTGGTCTGGCCTCCGACATTACGAGACATTAGGGAGAGACCTAAGGTTTGCGCTGCCCAGAAAGATAGGGTGATATAGTAGGATATGAGCAGTCCCACATGTTGTGCGAAGGTCTCGTTAGGTACCGTCATAAGCAAAATGGTACCCACGAATGATCTAGATACGTCATGTTAGTCGTGGTTACATTCCTTAGGTAGGTAGGTACTCAATGAAACTAGGATCATGCTACTTACGGGATAACGAAGCCCAGCATAGTCAAGATGTTCTGGTTAAACTTCTTCACCAGCCAAACAGAGCCTAGGAGAACCATGACGATGTAAAAGCCGAGGACCATGGACAAAAGCTGCGTCTGAAGATTGGTAAATCCTAGACTCCCAGAAATAATCAAGTTCGCAAAGGCGCCGAGGCCGCTAGTTGGTAGGGTCGTGGTGAACTGAATTCCGGCGTAGCACCATGTCTGGGGGTCAGTTAACGCCTCCCAAACCTGTTCCTTTTTGAAAGTTCGGTTCTGCAGCCCGGTCTGATTATCTCGAACTCTTTCAACCATCAGATGCTTATCCTCTTCGCTAAAACACTTGGCACGCATCGGGGAGTCAGGCATCCACCAAAGGACGAAAACGCCAAAGACGGCGGAGATGATGCCGTAAGCCATGAACAGCCACTGCCACGATCTAAGGGGGCCGTCCGTGATCAAAGTGAAGCAGTAGGCGAGGAGTCCGCCGACAATCTGCTGCGCGCCGTTCATCATATACCAATAGGTAACCCTCGAGGCTTGTTCTTCGCGTCTATACCACATAGCGGAGAGGATAACGAAAGCAGGTTGGCAAGCCGACTCGAACAGTCCCAGAAGCGTCCGGACGATTACCAACCCGAGGAAGTTTTTACATGCAGCATGGCAAGCCAAAACGACACCCCACGCGATGATTGAAAAACCAAGGTACTTGGCGACGGGAACTCGGGCGATGATATAGTTCTGCAATAGTTTTACTATCAGTATATCTCTCTGGCTCCTGTAACTGATTCAGAGGGTTAGGGATAACAATAGCGGGTCTTACCTGCGGGTACTCGACGACGAGGATAGTTATGTAGATACACGTAGTCAACCAAGAAAAGTCCTGGCTAACTTTTCCCTCAGGCGTAAGCATGCCGGTGTCTTTCGGCAGGCCCATGATCGAAGAGAAGGATAGTGTGCCTTTGTCGATAGCTTGGAGGAAATAAGTCATAATCATTACGACCAAGATTCTCTTGTCGATCATTTTCCGTAGCCTGACGTTCTCCTCGGGCGTTATTTTGATACGGATAGCCGACGAATATTTGGCGACTTCTTTGTCGACTTTGTTGTAATCTGCATGATTTCCCTTACCCTCGATATCTTCAGGCACCGAGTCTGCTCGCTCTACCTCCGCCATTGAATACCTCTTCGCGGAATCGTCTTGGTGAGGTGTTATGCGTTGGACCATCTCAGGGTCGGGAACCTCCGTAGACGACATCTTTATCAAATGCGTTGGGAGCGATGTTCTCCGCAGTTGTGATGTTTAGGGGTTCTCGGCGACTGCAGAGGTACACCACGCAGAAAAGTCTACCTGTGAGGATTAAAAAAAGAGGGAGACGGGGGCAAGAGTTTGAGATGAGAGAACCATGGCATTTTTATGTATTCATGCCTCGTATCATTATCACACCGACATCGAGCACATAATGCAGACTGCCTTGTATTGGTGCCGTGACATCGCAAGCGAGCCATCCAACACGGGGTGGATAGCCGATCATTCTGTGAACTCTCATTTGTCTACATTGGCCTGGACTAGGAGCCACCTCGTCGGATTAACACTAAGGACGGGGGGTATAATGCAGGCATATCATTTCCAACGAATCATCTTAGAAATCATTACTTGACTATATTCAACGAGGGAATAGTGCCTAATTTAGTGCTAGACTATAAGAAATGGAATCTGGGCAAATCTGGGCAGTCTGGGGCTCCCTGGGGCTCCCTGGGGATCAGCTGGGGCGAGTTTCCCCAAAATCCGGGGGATGGGGATAAAACCCCAAAGACAACAAATCTAGAGTCCTTCCGAGCCCTTGACTAACTCAAAGTAAATAACCCTGTTATTCTAAACGGAGCTCCAACTTTTTCGGGAGAGATGAACCTACGACCACCGGGGGTCTTCCCCTCAGCAAGCTAGCTTCGGAGTCAGCTATACCGAAACCACTACCACGCCCAAAAGGATCGGAGTCAAATTCCCCATTGAAGATCAGCTGCAGCTGCGTACTCCAAGAACCCCGTGCTCCTTCGGTTTAGAAGACTCCTGTGCTATTCCTCATCTGTTATATCTTATATCTTATAAACAGTACTATAGCGGTAGGATGGTGTAATTCCCATCACGTGTAATAAGACCTTGGTTTATTTTAGAGATTGGTATGAAATGGTGTGGGTATTGCGATGAAGTGATATCCCGACAACTGGGGGGGCACTTAAGGCGCTACGACACAATGTGGAGTATACCAAAATATGCACTATTCTTGACTCCTCGTGAAAAGACTCCTCGAATTTCCTCCTTTCCTTGTTCTTAAAGGACGTAAGACATGATTAAGTAGTACAACAAAGCAGACTATTCAGTTCCTTTTCGCTATACGATATTAGACAAGGAATCAAGCAAGAAAATTAAGACAGTCCTTGTCTAATACTTCGGATATATCCATCGGCGTAGTTAGATACCCCCCTTCCTTGATTATCTTCTTAGGTTGCGGACATCCCGAGAGCTGAGAAATTTACCTTGCCCAAGATGCCGGCAGAAATCCAAGGGATCAAGTCGAGCGACATCCACGCCAAGATTCAGCTCCTCATCGACGGACTAGTGAACATCAAAGACCAGACTGGGGAATTCCTGTTGACGTTAGATGATGGTCGCGTAATCGACACAAAAGGATGGAACGACTGGGAGTGGACCCATGGTATTGGTCTCAACGGAATTTGGGCTTACTACTCGCTTACCGGAGATGAAAAATATCTCAAGATTATTGAAGATTGGTTTGCCAACCGATTCGCAGCTGGGGGCACTACCAAGAACATTAACACCATGGCTGTATTTTTAACACTAGCCTACGTATATGAGAAGACGGGAAACCAGACCTATCTTCCCTGGCTAGACAGTTGGGGAGAATGGGCGTACCATGACCTCGAGAGAACCAAATATGGCGGCATGCAACATATTACATATTTGGAGGTGAACGATCAGCAGCTGTGGGACGACACACTTATGATGACCGTCATGCCCCTGGCTAAGATTGGAAAGCTACTTAACAGACCTCACTACGTCGACGAAGCGAAGCGGCAATTTCTCATCCACGTAAAATACCTATTCGACACCAAGTCCGGACTGTTCTTCCACGGCTGGACGTTCCACGACGGAGGCCATAATTTCGCCAACGCCTTATGGGCCAGGGGAAACGCATGGCTGACGATTGTGATCCCCGAATTCTTGGAATTGCTAGACCTACCCGCCAACGACCCGATTCGAAATCACCTCCTAGACACGCTGAACGCGCAATGCGAGTCCCTCAAGCCGCTGCAGACGTCGTCGGGCTTGTGGCGCACGCTCCTAGACCAACCGGAGGAGGAAGGGTCTTACGTCGAGTCGAGCGCGACGGCGGGATTTGCCTTTGGAATCCTCAAGGCACAGAGAAAGAAGTATATCGGGAAGGAGTACGATGCTGTAGCTCTTAAGGCTATACGGGCGGTGCTGGATAACGTTGATGCCGATGGAGAGCTCCTGAATACGTCTTTTGGTACGGGTATGGGTCACACGTTGCAGCATTACAAGGATATTCCAATTACGAGCATGCCGTATGGGCAGGCGATGGCTATCATGGCTCTAGTTGAGTTTCTAAGAGTATATATCTAAATCACAGATTCTATCAGACCCTTTAATGTGCAATCAATGTGGTTAGCCCACCTAGCTTGCTTTCTGGATTCTTTAACGATAGCTATTAGTCAAGGAGAATCTTCTTTGCAAATTCCACCTCCTCAGCTGTCCCGCAGATTAGCCCTGCAGTTTCGTTCAAGTCTCCTAGAGGTCTTTCTAGTATATTCGTCCCGTCAGCCGGGTCGATCGCGGCCCCTCCAGCACACTCGACTATTAGCGCAAGAGGGAATAGTTCATATAAACGTCGCAATTTAGCCTTGCTAGTTGAAGTCACGGGCGATATATATATTCCGTGACCCTTGACCAGCGCATGAACTACATCTGGAACAAGACCACCGCTATAGCGCAGCGTATATTTGTTCTGGATATAGTGCGTGATTAGACTCATGTACTTCTCGTCGTCCGCCGCCGCGCGGAGATTTGCGGGGGCGAAGTAACGGGTTTTATACGGCGATTCTGTTAGTCGAACGGCAGACCGAATGACTTCAACTTCACCATCGCGGACTCCGTTTTCACCAATTCCCAATTCGAGACATGTTGGCTTGGAGCCTGGAACGCGTAGCGCAACAATAACTGTGGTACGTGGTCCGTAGACACCGAGGACAGAGGCAACTAATTTGCTTGCGGGTGGTTGGCCAAGTGCTGTCTTCCCTTGCCAAACACCAATAATTGTACCGACAGTCCAATTCGGTGCAATTATAGAACTTCCATCTAGAGGATCAAACGCAACGGTATAATTCTCCTCGGGGATATTGCCGGTCGAGGCTTCTTCCTGGATTTGAACATGCCGTTCGACCGGATCCTCTTCGCTGCTGGCAGTCACAACAAAAGGACAGCGCGAAATGGCGTCTCGAATGCTATTCTCGGCTAATACATCCACATTCAATTGGTCATCACCAAAAGCATTCGCGCTGCCTGCCTGCGAGACATAATGTGACGTCCTGAGCGATTTGGCGATGTCCGAGATGCAGTTGATCAAGGCCGGCAGTACAGAGTCGATTAATCCCTTGTACGCCTGCGAGGGGACAGCAGAACGCAGCTGATGGGTCAAGTCGGAGCTGGTCATTATCTCTTAAACAAAAAATGAGTATTATTATTAAAACCTCATTCTTCAGACAGAACTCTAATGGAAGTTTAGCCCTCAAAATAAATTCGATATGCAATTAACGGGTCGCTAATTTGAAGCTGATCCTTAGCCATTATCGCGTTGCTTGAGATTGGAATTGAAGAACTTTACTATAAGCGAATGTTGGTGTTATAGCCCAAAGTCAATGTATTTACTCTGAACATATAGCTTAGAGACTACTTAAGATAATTATTTCGATGGAGTATTTTTCTATAATAGACAACAAGGGCCAATTTTAATCATTAACTGACATATCAACATATTTCGTATGCAACTATTAGAGCGTAAAAGGGAAATGATCTTACAAAAAGTAGGTAAGCGTGAGGTTTGAAGAGATATCTATCCTATTGTGAATAATATATCAACCGATTATATCCACGGTACGAAGAATGGAAACCTCTCGTGTTATCGAAAAGACATTTCCGTGATCCGGTATCCGAGATCCGATACACTGACGCATCCGCACCCCTTTCCCTGGTTTGCTCTTAAATACGTGATCACCTCGTAGATAGTTGTCAGACTATTTTGACTTTAATATTTAATATTATTTATTATATTGGTTTCAGTTGAATAAATACCCAAAGTTCAAGCTTCAAGTGTTTAAGCCATCACAATGCCAGGTCGTACTCAGTTATCGCCAGAGTGTAACGAGAGATCTTCAGATCATTATGATCTCCTCCATAATTATTCCGTCTCCAGAAATGGATTTCTTCCAGAGCGAGAACCCATAAGCCGTCTACCACACCATTATTATACCCCGTGGGAATCTATACTGGATGATCTCCCATCACTGCTAAACAGCAAATCGATCCGAAAGGCTGTAAATTCCATAAGGGTACTTTCGACGAGCAAACTACACACAGAAGAAGAATGGCAGCGAGCTTACGTAGTTTTATCATTCTTAGCGCATGGATACATCTGGGGTGGTGAGAAGGCATCAGAGGTATAACAGATCTTAATAATTATTACACATGTGGCTAATAAACGATCAGGTACTTCCCCCGGCGATATCAGTACCATTTCTTCAAGTTTCGGAACACCTCTGCCTTCCGCCGGTTGCGACATACGCTGCTCTTAACCTATGGAACTTTACCTGTAACGGACCCGACTTTCGAGACCTTGACAAGCTAAAAGCCTTGCATACATTCAGCGGAACAGAGGACGAGTCGTGGTTCTACTCAGTGTCAGTAGCAATGGAAGCGGAAGGTGCCTATATAATTCCGACCATGCTCCAAGCACTCGAAGCGACCCAACATCGAGATTACTCGACAATAATCAAGGCATTAGACCAGCTAAAGATCTGTATCGGGAGACTTGGCAGATTACTCGATCGGATGGACGAGAGATGCGACCCAATGGTCTTTTATCACCAGATTCGTCCGTATCTAGCCGGAAGCAAGAATATGGCTGCTTCAGGTCTCCCTAATGGTGTCTTATACGAAGA